CATTCCAGGTTTCTCCCAGGGAGTTGGCGGCAGTTGGGTGTCAGTTACCCGAGATCCGATCACTGTTACCAGTAGGGGGTTGGTGTGTTTCCGATGGGTGTGGGGGTGTTACCAGTCGAATATGACTAGCTAGCTAGTTGGCACTTACTTACATGTGTGTGGGCTTGAATACGGCAATACTAAAGAGTACCGGTATGGGTAGAACCACGATGATGAAGAAGCAAGGACTACGTGGACCCGAGGCGGTTGTGGCTGTACTTGGCTTGCTGTTCCAGGCAGTGTCTAACAGTGGAGCGTTTTCGTTGGTATCCCATCGGTATCAGCATCATCATCATCAGAGGAGTAGTAGTACCAGTTTGGAAAATGAATTTCAATTATCGGCCACAGTTGCAGCTGCATCAGAATTGGAAGCTGCAGCAGTTGCCCCAGGCAAGCAATCATGGTTTCCTTCTCGTATTCAAGAATCTCTGGATTATTCTGAGCTGGTGCAGAGTCTCTACTTGCGGCATATTGTAACGGAAACCAAGGAAATGGCGGATCTTGCTTTGAAGCAGTACTTGAACACTCTGGATTCCTCTGATCCGTTTGGCCAGGTGGCATCGATACTGAGTGCCTGTGCTGCGTCCAGAGACGAACAAGGCAAAATTGGATGGGTGGATAATTTTCTGCAACAAGACGTCACTCTGCTTCCTTCCGACGTGGTCCAAAAGTTATACTTGTTGGAACCCAAAGCAGGCGATGTTCATATTCTACAATCCACTCAAACCAAACAGTTCCACGTCGTCTTGGTGGAAGAATTGCTAGTACGACATGCCGCACAAACAACCACACTATCCAACACAAACGAACCAAAACCCGTGGGAGCCTTTTCGGGACGCAATGCCGTATTGCCACGCCGAAAATTGCCCGGAAAGGGGGTCGTTCCCACCCTGCCTTCCAATTGGGCGCACAAAAAGTACCGAATCGAAACATCCGGGTGTCAAATGAATGTCGCCGACAGTGAACGATTGGCCGGAGTCCTGGAGCATGACTTGCAAATGGATTCCACTGACGCGTCGCAAGACGCCGACGTCATTGTCATTAATACGTGCAGCATTCGGGATCATGCCGAACAAAAACTATACGACAAATTGGGACCCTATGCGGCACAAAAACGAAATGGACGACAATTGGCATTGATTGTTACGGGGTGTGTGGCACAGCAAGAAGGAGAGAAACTCTTGAAACGAGTGCCCGAACTCGATTGTGTGCTGGGACCACAGTACGTACCCTTTTTGCCGAATGTGCTTGAGAGTGTCGAATGGGGGCGTCAAGTGGTTGCCACAGCACCCATGCTGCATCAAGAAGCTGCCACCAGTAGTAGTGCACAACAACAACAACCAACAGATGTCTTTGCCAAGCCAGTCAGAGGACATTCTGTGCGAGCCTGGGTCAATGTAATTAACGGATGCAATGGTACGTGATTATTTCTTCATTCATCTGTTATGGGATCGATCATCCTCGGGGAGATGTCTCAAAGTGCTATTGTTTCTTTTTGTCCATCCTTTATGGTATTGTTGCTATTATTAAAAGAACACTGCACTTACTGTGTTGTTCCGGCGACAAGAGGCACAGAACAAAGTCGGACCATGGAACACATTCTTCAAGAATGTCTGGATCTAGCCGCCAATGGATACAAAGAAGTTACATTGCTGGGGCAGAACATTGATGCCTACGGACGAGATATGGTGCCCAAACGAACCTTTGCCGAATTGCTCGAGTTTCTCAATCACAATTTACCACCCAAGTTTCGAGTTCGATACGTTACGTCACATCCAAGATACTTTTCCAATCGGGTCATTGATGCCGTGGCCAATCTAGATAAGGTATGTGAATGCTTTCACATGCCATTTCAAGCCGGAGATGATCAAGTATTGAAACGAATGAGACGAGGATACACCTTTCAGAGTTACATGAAAATTATTGATCGGATTCGAGACAAGGCGCCGGATGCGTCCATTTCTGCCGATGTCATTGTGGGATTTCCCGGTGAAACGGACGAAGCTTTTGAAAAGACGTTGGCAATCATGGAACGCGTCAAATTTGACAATCTCAATTCCTTTGCCTATTCTCCACGGCCCAACACGGAAGCAGCACTGTGGACCGACCAACAGGTTCCCGAACATGTCAAGGCAGCACGACTGCAACGAGTACAAGCGTTGGCGACCCAGCATGGTTTGGAACGCAGTCAACGATATGTGGGGCGAACAGAAGAAATCCTGGTGGAAGATGTCAATCCACGGAATCCCAAACAAGTCATGGGACGAACTCGACAAGGCAGACAGGTATACTTTGACGGTGAGATTGAATCCCAACGAGGAGAACTGGTCCAAGTGCTCATCACAGAAGCACGAACATGGAGTCTCATCGGTGAACTTGTAGATAGTATGCATAGCCCATAGTCCAAAGTTTGTATACTTACTTGAGTCATACCTCTCCAACTCCGTCTGTAGAAGAACAAAATGATACATGGTTGTCGGTTATAGTTAGTTTAGAATGCACTCGTACTGGCATAGCTGGCTAGTATCCATCAATGGCCTTGCTCAGGTAAGGAATGACATCATCCAGAGGAATTCGGACCTGCTCGGTGGTGTCTCGATCGCGAATTGTCACGGCATTGTCGTCTTCAATGGTTTCAAAATCAACCGTTATGCAAAAGGGAGTCCCGACTTCATCAGCCCTTCGGTATCGTCGTCCAATGGCGCCAGTGGCATCCCAGGAAACATTCCACCGCTTTTGCAACTTTTCATACAAGTCTCGGGCCACCTTGACCAACGCTTCCTTGTTCTTGACCAACGGCAACACGCTCACCTTGATGGGGGCAATCTTCGGATCAAACTTTAACAGGCTGCGCTTTTCTCCGCCCACTTCGTCTTCGGCATAGGCGGAGCAAATCAAGGCCAAAATTAAACGGTCCACTCCCAGGGAAGGTTCAATGCAATGAGGAATGTACTTTTCTTTCAATGTCTCATCAAAATAGTCCAGGCCTATATTGAAAAGCAACACAGCAGGCGTGAGCATGATTGCTATTGAATCAATCAAGAAATCCAGTTGCAAGTACATACTCTTTCCAGATCCTTCTGTGTGTTGTGTCAAATCAAAGTTTCCACGAGCAGCAATGCCCATCAACTCCTGTTCTCCAAACGGGAATTTGAAAGTCACATCGGTACACGCCAATGCATAGTGAGCCAAGGAATCTCCCTTGTGCACATCCCATCCCATGAGTTCCTCTCGCAATCCCACACTCAGCAAGAACGCCTTGGAGGAATCCATCCATTCCTGATGCATCGGAGGCCAAACATCATCACCGGGTGGGATAAAGTACTCGACTTCCATTTGTTCAAATTCTCGCGATCGAAAGATAAAGTTGCGGGGCGTGATTTCGTTGCGGAAGGCTTTGCCAATTTGTGCAATGCCGAATGGGATCTTTTGGCGTGATGTGGTCAAGACATTCTTAAAGTTGATAAAGATCCCTTGTGCGGTTTCCGGTCTCAAGTAGGCAACCGAGGATTCATCGGACATGGCCCCGACTTTGGTTTCAAACATGAGATTAAAGTCTCGTGGCATTGTGAGTGTGGGTTTTCCCGACCCCGGGGATGGAATTTGTGCCATTTCTTCTTCGGTGGCTTCAATCACCTCTTTGAAAGCAAATGCTTCTGCTTGGCCATCAATTTTCTTTTCTTTTTTGAGTTTCTTTGCCTGCTTCTTGGCAGCCTTTACCATGTCATCATCATTGCCTTCCTGGACACATACGTATCCTACTGTCTCACCGTCAACAATCACTGGTGCATAAAAGAGCTGATCCGCTCGGTATCTCAATTTGGTTTCTTTGCAATCCACCATGGGATCCGAGAATCCATCCAAATGGCCTGCGTAGAGGGACAGAGTAAGAAAACAGAGAAAGTGATAAGATTGACATCAGTGTATGACAGGTGATACTGTCACTCCATATGTGTATATTGTACGCACCACTGGACTTCCAGGTTGTTGGATTGTGGATAATACTGGAATCTAGACCCACGACATCTTCCCGTTGTGTCACAAAATGTCTCCACCAAGCATCCTTGACATTTTTCTTCAATTCAGATCCCATTGGCCCATAATCATAGAATCCAGCAAATCCGTTGTAGATTTCCGATGAGGGAAAGATGATTCCACGACGCTTGCACAGAGACACCACATCTTCCATGGTAAAATCGTACTTGAATGGTTCTTCTTCCGTGGTGGCAGCCGGGGCTTCTTCGGCAGTGGCACTCATCCATTTCATCGAGCCAGAACCAGCAGCCGCCCTCCGTGCCGATGAAGGCACAAACGCCCGTACCAGGAAGGATGATGGTGATGCCATCATCATCATCAAGGCAAGTGGAGCACACGAGAATCGCATCGGATTGTCAAGGTGGTCGTCAAGGAGAAGATGTCAAAAATGAATATTTTGACCTGCTGAAGGAGGAGTGAATAATTTATATATTAGGACAAGAAGTTACGTTGTTGTCTGTGGTTGTGTTGTTGTTCTTGCTCTTCACTGAGTCACTCGCTTTGACAAGCATGCAGTGAGTGTCTGTTGATGTTTTCTTTCTTGTGGTCGATGCGGGGGCTGGAAGCAGCTCCAAAAATGAGGGTACGTCAGTTGGTGGGAATTTGGAATGCTTCCCGAGGAATCTTCCCTTACACAACTGACCAACTGGCCTTCCTCGCAGTACTCTCGAGACAGGGCAATGCAGAGAGCTGGCCTCAGATGGTGTCTTCTTGGCTATTTTACTCTATCTTTGAGCAGCCTACTAGCTAGCTAGGCAAGTAGTACTTCCCTCCTGCTGCTTTAGCTAGAGTAACAGATCCAGCCATTTCAACAGGAAGCCAAATGTTTATGCTGCCTGAACCAACAAACACTCCAGGCCTCAACAGATGACCTTTATCACTTTCGGAAGTCATGGCCTAGATACTAGTCCTGGTGTGGAGCATGATGATGAACCAGGAGTGTGGCCTGGAGATTGGACTGCTGCATGCCCTGGAGTTGGTCCTGGCGGGGGAGCCTGGCGGCAGACGCGGGGTGCCCTAGGTCCAGGTGTGAGGCCCTACCAGGGGGTGGCATTGGTCCAGGTTCCTGTCACGGACCTTGGAGTGGGGACCAAGATTGCCGTTTGGTACCTTCGTACTGGGGCTACGAATACAGCCTTACCAGCTTATATCTAGGAACCACCGTAACAACGGCGACACGGCGAACCCTTATTTCTTGCATCGCAACGGAAAGCTGAGACTGGTTCGTACCGGTACATCGACCAGATCCATCGGCAGCTCCACAGCTCCACGCCTCTGCTCATAGTACTGTCCCGATTGAAGATACAGTATCATGACGAGCAAACAGGAGGAGCGAAAGCCTATACAAGAAGATGACGAATTGGAAAAGGGTTCAGAAGATGAAGAAGATGGTGGGATGCATCGGATTCTCGTGGAGATTGTGTCGGCGTTGAATGTTCCGCGAATGGATGTCAAATCAGAATCAGATCCGTTTGTGGAAGTTTCCATGGGCGGCCAGGTGTTGCATAAGACCAAACATATCAATGACAGTGTCAATCCGATATGGACGTTGGAGACAGGGTCGTTGTTCTTGTTGGAGTTTGCCAAAGACTCGGTGGATTTAGAACAGTCCGCCGTGTTTTTTGTCGTCAAGGATTACGATGGGCCTGGAAAAAAGGAAGATGTTCTGGGGGCCGTCGCTGCTCCGGTCAAGGCATTGCTGTGAGTACTGGAACAGACTAGTCTGCTCGGAAGGATGATGGTGGAAGAGAAGAAGACTGTTTGAGTGGAATTGACAAGTGTTTCACTTTTTGTCTTACCTAACCTTTTTCTTTTTCTTCTTTGACACTCTATTCTTTTCTCCTGGTTGAATCATTCTTCAGGAATGGGAAGGGGGAGAGGGAGACATTCCCATTGGATGTTCCACCGGATGTATTGGAATACAACAAAAAGAAAAAGCGCTTTGTCTCCAAACGAGTAAGTACCTAGCAGGCAGACTCAGCATGCATTTTTCATTCTTGAGCAAGCACTGACCACCGTTCTTCTTGGTTGGCTGAATTGTCAGTCCAAGCTGGTGCTGCGCTGCAAACCTGCCTCGATTGAAGAGTATCATTTCATCAAAACTTTGGATGCCAAGCAACACGGAATCTTTGCCAATGAAACCTTTCTTCCACCCAGACTATCAAATGTCAAATCATCCGAAGGGACGCCTCAAATCGCAGGCTGGGGAGCTCAAATCTTGGCCACGCAAATGGGCAGCGACAAAACTGACAGTCTGTTAGAACAAGCTTTTCAACCTTCTCAAGACTGGATTGAAGTGGGTTCAGGAACACATGGACGGGTGTACTTGGAAGTCCTTGGTTGCAATGATCTGCCCAACTTGGATTCTCCCACCATCGGCAACCTCAACAACATGACCGATGCCTATTGCTGTCTCATCATGGAAGATAGTATTGTCAACACAACTGTCATCAAGGATACGCTCTCGCCGCGATGGTTGCCCAACGACCGACGGGCTTTTGTGTTTCATGTTCACCATCCTTCCTCGCAGCTCTACATTGGTGTCTTTGACCACGACAAGGTCACCCGAGTGGCCAATGCCATGAAAGACCGGGTGCATGATCCCATTGGACGAGTCTTGGTCAATTTGACGCACTTCCGTCCAGGGACACTCTACACGCTCCACTATCATCTCTATCTAGTCAACAACTCTGCCGAAAAGTCTCGAGCCGAACAAGCACACAATGGAACTCTCACGATTCGGCTACGCATCGAATGGGGCAGCGGCGGCGACTCGATACAACAACCGTGCATCAAGGGAAATGATACCAAGAACATGCTGATTGAAGGCATGTTACCTCCTCACGTGGAACATCTGGCAGTACCGAATCGACACGACTTTCGAGTAGCACATTACACCATTGTTGGAAAATACGATCCCCAGAAATTCAACTTGAAAACATTGACTGGTTATGTGGAAGAGATTCAGACATATGTGGATGAAGAAGTCATCACGATGGTGGCCGCAGCGGCGTTGACGATCCTCCTGTGGCGGGGGCATTACGAAATAAGAGTCTTTGGTAAAAGTGTCCTCGTGCCGTTCCATTCCATGGCGGCCTTTGCATGGGGGGTTCTCGTGACACAAAACTACAATCGGTTCTTGTCCTTCCTTCTATTTTGTGTCGCATGGTTCTTTTTGGCTACCAACGAATACCGACGGAGTCATCCGTCACCGTGGCACAGAGGCAAGTCATTTGCAGAGCTCTTGGGGGCCCTTTTGGTAGGTACAATCTGCGGCTGTCTTGGCAAATGCGTGCCAAATGTTGGGAACACGACAATTGAGCACAACGAGAACCTACCAGCCGTCCAGGCGTACTACGATGCAGTGAAGGCACGGCGTGAACAGCAAGCCAAGCAAAAAGAGCAAGCTATTGAACATGCAGCGCAAATGGAACAAGAGGAAATGAAACAGCAAATGCAGATTGATTCCAGCGCCATTGAAGGCGTCGTCAACATTGCCACTGGACCAAAGGATAGCTTCATGGGGTCGATGAACCCGTTGAAACCGATTTTGCACCCAGTTCAGATGATTCTCTACCAGGTGTGCCGCTACCTTCGAATCACCAAAAGTATTGTCACTTGGGAAGAAAACTACTATCCTTTCTGGATAACTCTCTGCTCTATGCTGGGCGCTTTGCTCTTCTTTTTCATTCCTTGGGGGTTCATCCTGAGATGGGTTGTGCGAATTGCAGTGTGGGTGGTGTTGGGACCATGGATGAAGCTTGTGGACTGGATGTACTTTGGAAAGCTCGAAAACATGACAGCAGAGGAGAAGAAACAGATGCTGGAGGATGACTTGCGTAATCAGTACCAGGAAACTCTTGCGCGGCGGATGCGAAGTGAGGAATACAAAGAGGACATGGTCAAGCTCAAGAGCATGCTTAAGTATCTGTTTGGCAAGGTAAGTGAAGCCCAACTGCCCAATTTCGTTTGCGGATCCTTTGCTGTTTGACCAATGCTGACGATGTTTGCCACCTGATTTGCATTAGTATCTGTTGGAAGTCCCAAGATTTCGGGAGAGTCGGTTTTTGGACTACCCACTACCAGCTTCTACAGCTGAACCGGTCGTTGACGCTCTATCGGAGGCAGACCTTAATGTTGTGGGCCAGATCTGTGGCCAAACCCTAACAGGTCCAATGATCCCAACAAGAATGATCCAAGAGCATCCATTGCTGACTGAAGAACCAGAAGACACGACAAGTTTCTTGCGCGTCTGGGGGCATAGTGTTCACAAGTCGATTTCATCCTCTCAGCTAAAAATGGAGGAGGACGAGCCCACAAAAGGCGAAGAAAAGCCGTTGCTGCCAAAGACCGGCAAGAAGAAAAAGAAAAAGTGGTATGGATTGTTTCCACGCTTGCGAAAGTAAGTAGAGCTCCACTAGTCGAGCCATTGGGTGAAACGAAAGGGCAGAACACGAAACTGTTTAGGCACCCGGGGGGGGGGGGCGGAGTAGGCAGATCTTTTACGAGGCTTCGTTCTTGTTACAGTAAACAGCGGATCATTTCAAACTTTCTACTAGTATTGCTTATTAGTTACAACCACCGTCGTGTTCGCCGGCGGTAGGTGTCCCATTCCGCCCCAAATTGCATCTTTAGATATATTTCTTCATCTCGAATCAAAACACGATAGAAGACCAAACCCGAAATTGGCGACAACACCAACATCCAAGGAGTTCCCCACCAAAGAGCGCTTCCCGGAAACAGCAGGCCAACAAATGCCAGATAGGTGGGATTTCGTGAGAAGCCAAAGGGCCCCGTTTGGATGAGCCGAGTAGTGGGTTTCCCAGGCTGCGAGGACTGCGAATACTTGTTGAGTTCCGTTTTCACTGACAGTACCAGAAGACCTCCTGCAGCAAGGAGACCCAGTCCGGCCACGACGAGGATGTTCTCCAATTGCTTGTTCTCGTCGTCAAAAAATGTGAGGGGGAAATGTCGCTGTAGTAGCCAAGCACCCAGATAGAATACAATCGCAAGGAACTCGCTGGTCTTATAGAATACTCGATCGTGAGCAGAAGCCATTGTATTCCTTTCCACTTTCATCTTCTTTGAAACCATGACGAGCAAAGCCTTCATTCGAGAATGATTGAATGGTTGAATCGAATCATTCATAACTTTTCATCAAATGCAGCAAAAAGTGAGAGTGCTAAAACATTTGACAGCCATCCTCCATGCCAGAGTTCTGGTACGGGTATCCGAGGGGTCCACCGTATGTGATTTGTGTTCGCAAGCAATGAAATGTTGTGTTCTGGTCTTTGGTGCAAAGAACCTGATAGCTATTTTAAAATAGACGAGGTGACGGGAGTCTTGCTTTACAAAAAGATCTTTACTCTGCTGGCTTTCTCGCCTCGAGGTGTGTGCCTCCATAAAGTATGTACCGGTACTACCAGTAGTAAAAATACAGTATTGTTGGGCTATCTTTCTTCCCCTTGAATGGAATCAAGAACACACCTTACCAAAAGCTGCAATAGATTGCTTGCCGTCATACTGTAATTTGCTTCCGGCTTCAGTACATGATCCGAACAGCAGCCGGGAAACACGGCCAGTCCGCAGTGATCTATCCTGTTACGGATACACTCTTTCTCTTTCTCGTCTGCTTCACCTTCTGCGGCTGCGAAAAGCACCATTTTTGGGGATTCTCACGCAACAGTCCATACACAATGGCTCCAGTTGGCTCAGTGGCCAAAGCAAGTCCTAACAGCCCCACAAACTCAGATCGACTAGTACCGGGATTGCGTACCTTGGCCTTTCCATATTGATTGAGTTTCATATTGTAGCGAACCTTTTTACGCAGGAATCTGAAGTCACCGGGTGATCGACGGAGAAGTTCAAAACATTGTAGGGTTGTGTTGATTTCCAGGGCTGCTAGCAGTGTCGAGGGGTCAGCGACCGCGGAACGGCATGATGGAATGGTCAAATGGGTCAACGTACTGTTGTTCGCTAAAGCCTGGAAGATGGGCTCGTGCCTAACCATAAACTCGTCCACATAGATCCTTTGGATTACTGCAGGCTTCGTTCCTTGGGGCGCTAGAAGAGAAACGATCCCGTCTGTCAAGTCAGTTCCGACCGTCACGCTGGTACCCTTCAGAGTAAGCTGAATAAGTGGAGCCATCGTGGTTTCAATAGCAAGGGCCAAAGCTTTCGTCGCGTTTCCAGCACGTTCGCTGTTGGCACCCTGAACGCTTGTTTTCAGAACCAGTGAAAGGCTCTCCAAAGTTTTACTTCGCAGAATGGAGAGTGCCAAAGGTTCCACGTAGACATGTTGATTGTGGATCATATGGGGCAAGCTCAAGTCCACATGTCGAGCCCCTTGAACCAACCTCGCCAACAGCGTGGCTTTGGGGGCATTCATGGTCACATTTGACTCAACAGGAAACTTCCAAACCAAGTTCTCGAACGTTGGAATGCGTTGGCCAATTTGCTCCAATATTTCATCATCAATCACGGCGCGCTTAAACAACACATCCACCAATCTCCGGAAGGCCGCTGTGTCGTCAAGATGTTTGCCAGGAGGCAATGTTACATCCAACAAACGCTGCAAGAGGTGTCGATATGTTCTAACATCATCAATATGTTCGCCAGGAGCCAAAATGCGACGCGCCTCAAAAATGCGACGCACCCAAAAAAGACAATTGCGTACAGCGCCGGGTGTTAGGTTGTTGTTGTTGTACACATTTGATAGCAACTCATACGATTTGGCTAGTTCTTTTATTCCCTTGTCCTTGTTCATAGTTGCAGATGCTTACTTCGAATGCTTCGAGAGAACCTGAATGATTAATCGAGCAGCAAGCAATGAAACTATAGCTGTGCCACCGGGTTTTTCAGTACCGGTACCACACTCAACCGTGGCGTCCACGGTGATCGAATCTTCCACGGATTAAAAACTAACGGGGGTCTCTTAGAGTAGCCCTTTCTGGCCAATTCAATCCGCATCGGGCCAAAGGGTTTGGCTTCGTGGGATCCATGTCTCCATGGTTTTTCATGTAGCCAGGAAAATGAATCGAATCGAAACGACGAAAAGCTTCGAGAGCAGAGACATCCCCGCAACAATCATTGCGAGAGTGCTCTCTTCCAAGTGCAATCTATTTTGTATGATGCAGGATGGATTGACTATGGAGCTGCCTGCTACGCCCCTTGGCTGGCTGGCTTCATCGACTCAAGCAAAGCACTTGCATCCCGCGAAAGATTTCAATTGACGTCGGTGAGAGCTAGCTACCGGTACACGCACGGTACGAAACCGTCACGGGCAGCGTATCAGTATTTCTTGCTGGAAGCTGGAGGCAAACCACTGTTCCGTTAGCGGTTCAACAGCAACCAGCAATTCGGGTTCATCAACGGAACGAGAGAGGAGGCGAACAGGGAAAACTGAAAGAAGGCGAGGGGTTTTGCGAGGATGATGTAACAAGGCACTCTATAGTTGATAACTTTTAACTTGCTGTAGCTTCCTCGTCCGCTGAAGTTGGGCGCAGTGGAACCAGGCTTGAATTGAATTATGAAGCTCACCGACCGTAACTTCTCTGCCCGTGCCCATGACCTGAAGGTCTCCTGCCACCCGCATTTCGATCCCTCATTGACCCACCGCCTTGCTGTGGCGGCATCATGTAGGCTCCACTTGCTGCAGAGCCATCGTAAGAGGCACCCATGGGCTGACCGCCACCACCACCACCTTGCATCAACACGGGAGTTCCGTCCGCCGACGTCACGTAATAATAGCCGTTGCCAGTCTGCCCGTACTGCGTCATGAACTGTTGTTGTTGCTGCTGGAAGGCCATTTGCTGCTGTTGTTGAAGAGCTGCCAGTTGTTGTTGGTGTTGTTGTTGCAGTGCTGCCAGTTGCTTTTGCTGCTCTAGGATCAGCATTTCGTGTTGATATTGAGTCAGTTGAGGTTGGCCTTGATCCATGGACTGCGGTTGTTGCTGCTGCTGGCTTCCGCCTCGAGCTCGTTGTTGTTGCTGTTCCTTCTGGAGTCGCTGCTGTTGAGCAAGATACTGAACGCCACCCTGGCCCTGGTCGAAGTTATTGAGACTGCTGTTGCCGTAACCCTGGAAAGAAACCCCGCCAGCTCCTATCATTCCAGCAGATTGATTTGGATACGCAGCCGCATTTGGTAACGAACTGACGTTGGTGGCTTCAGTCTGTTGATATCGAGGAAGCGAATTCTGGTTCATTCGTCCATGGCCGTATTGTTGCTGCTGTTGTGAGTAATGATGTCGCTGCTGGTGATGATGTTGATTTGAATTCACTGACATGTGAGAAGAGCCAAGACTGGCCCCGCTGATGCTAGCCTGCGAGGCCACTGTTGCGTCGTCTCGTCCAAGCCCTGGAACATTCCCTGGCCTCTGCAATGCATACATAAAGTCAGCGTCCGTAGGACCCTCTTCGTAGTTTCCATGCGCTGTAAAACTTTGAGGGCCGGCGAATCGTGGTTGGACGCCTGTTTGGGATGGCGTTTTCATGAGATGCTCATGCTGCACGGGCTCCTGTGCCATTTGTGCTTGCAGCCCAGCACTGCCAAGTGCGGACATGCTCGACGCAAGGGCACCCTGAGGCTGTTTTCTTCCGCCTCCGCGGCCGTATTGAGTTTGGAGCTGTTGTTTCGAAGCAATTTGTGACGGTGGCGAGGACTTCCCACCGTCCACAGACATGTGACCAACTGACGGACTGTCCGCCACCATCATTGGCTGAGCTCTGGAATTGACGGAATTCATTGAGGGCGATTGCTGGTTGCTTCTATCTGAACCTTGCTGCTGTGCATACCCCCGACGTCGATCGTTTTGCTTTTCTCGCATTCGTTGCACGTTGAGCAGTTTTCTTCGGCAGATACCTGGATCCCACGGAGGGACCCAGTATACGTCGAAATGTTTGTTTGCCTGGTTCTCTTCTTTGTAGTCTAGTTTCGTCTCGGGACCCTTCTTCCGTAACTGACCAGTTTGGCCTGTTATAAACGGATGCTGGGAGGCTTGGTACGCCGTCCATCGCTTCCAAGGATCAGGATCCAAAAGCCCTTTCAATCAAGGACGACGAGGATGACACGGTGAGCACCAGGGCGCATCGCAAAGAAGAACGACTCCTCATTTTTTCTGCACAATCGAGCCACGTACCGTATAGAAAGTGAACAAACATGCCGAGCAACTCCTTTTCATCCCCAACGCAGTGTTGTCCGTGCAACATGATGATATCGGACAATTTCGTTCGTTTGAAGTATCGATTGGCAGGTTGCTTTTCCAGTTTGGCCAGCCCGCCTTTCTTTCGAATTTCATTTTGCGTCAAAGACTTGATGTATTCTTCTTGACTCTTGAGTCGCCATTGCGGTAGCATCGGCCTGCCATTGGTAGACTCGGCCACGGCACGATCGCTGCCAGTGCTCCCGCTGCCCTGACTGCTATTTGCACTACGCGGTACATACTTGAGATAATATTTGGTCGCCTTGGAGCCCTGCTCCAACATCCAATCGGGAATTTCTCCAATCATTTCAATGATGCGACCGCATTGATCGTGTTCGTGAACTCCTGGTAAAATGGGCAATCCCAGGAATAGTTCTGCCGCGACACACCCCAACGACCACATGTCAATGGCCGAATCGTAGGGCAGGCCCATGAGGACTTCAGGGCTTCGATAAAAGCGCGACTGAATGTACGTATGTGCCGAGTATCCTTCAAAACAGGCCGATCCAAAATCGATCAATTTGATGGTTTGTGGCATGGGCGAGTTGGCTCCTCCTAACAATGCACTCTTCTTGCTGGTATTGGAGGAAGCACTAACCACGCTGGCATCACTACTCGCCGTTGTCGGGGGACCACCGTCATTCTTGTTGTGTTTGCTCTCGCCTGCTCCAACCACGTCCTTTTCGACGTCGTCGCCCACGAGGAGAATATTTTCGGGCTTTAAGTCACAGTGCACAATGGTTTTCCCGGCCAGTTCCTTGACACCTTCAATGCCTTGTCGCGCCAGACTTCGTACCATTGGAAGCGGCAATCCACGAAATTGTCGTCGTTTGAGGACTTCGTACAAATTCAATCCCAATTTTTCAAATACGAGACAGAGATGTGACTTGTACATGAAGGAACTCAGCAAGGAGACCATATGCGGCGATGACGGTGTCGATCCACCAACTCCCGACGCGGGATCGTCGGGGTTGGTGTTATTGTCGCTGTTATTGGGATCGGTCGTTTTGGCGGCAAGAGCTCGAAAGACTTCAATTTCGACGGCAGCTTGTTTGGTAAAGGCGGGTTTGTTTTTGATGATTTTGAGGGCCACATGTTTTTTGGAAACGGATTCCCAACAACAAAAGACTTGAGCAAAAGTACCTTGTCCGAGTAGAGACTGCACGTGAAACTCCAATCCCTTGCTGCTAATGATATTTTGATTGCTGCCGACGTTGGGTCCTCGAGTGTGACTTCGCGATGGGACAATGAGAATATCGTTTTGACAGAGTATCAGGTTGCCTTCAACATTGTCGAGTCCTTCGCTTCCGACCGGATCGGATGGTTGCGTCAGACATCGACCTCGAGGTGTTGCGAAATGCAATGATGGTTCATTGTTGACGACGGAGGCGCCAATGCCGCCTCCATGAGCACTACCGCCTCTTAGGGAGGATGACAACATACTGGTACCTCCACCATTTCCCGGCAACGACCCAGGTCCGGGATATTGATGGTAGGCGGACTTTTGGGAATTACTGGTCCGTACGGACCCCGCCTTGCTCATTCCCGTTTGTTGCGAGGTGATGGTGGGCAAGCTGTGCACGGATTCACTTTCAAAGGTGGATTCGGATCCTCCTTCGAGGACAGCCGACAACAATCCCTTGGGAGGTGGTCCCTGTGGGTTGGGTCCTTGTGGCGCACCGGTCGATATTTGTTGTTGCTGGTGCTGCTGTTGTTGCTGTAATTGCATTTGCATGGCAGCATATCGTTGAGGAGACGTGCCATCATGAGGCATGGACATGGCCTGTTGTTGTTGCTGTTGGAGTAGCAATTGTTGTTCCGTCAATCTTCCATAAGAGGATCCTCCTGCAGTGGTAGTGTAAGAGGTGGCACTGGTGTGTCCTGAATGTGAGCTATTACTGGTACTGAGTGTGCCTGGCAAACTGCCTGCCGAAGGAGCGTACTTGTTGACATATCCAGCCTTTTGTTGTCGTTTCCATTTGTGGAATGTTTCTTTGGCTTGAAGCGTAATTCGTTTGAGCAGTTTTTGATTGGGTTTGCCACTGGCTGTCGTGGCAGATCCCCCGCCTGTGGAAGCCCCCGAAGATCCATGATCATGAAAGGATCCTCCCAACTTTGCGACCTTGGGAGTGGGAGGCCCGTGAAGAGGGTTCATGGCAGAAGCAGCCGCTTCATGTGGATTGAATGGCTTTTTGGCAGGTCGTTGGTACTTGGTAAAAGACGCCGAAGGATGAGTGCCCAGACGAGCTGTTCGTGAAGATGGCTGTCGCTGTCGATGATTCTGACTGTTATGATAGTCTGTATCTCCAACGCCCTGGGCTCGTTGCGACAGCCCTTGTCCTATTCGACGATACGCATCTTCGACTGGATTCGTGTGCGCCGACGTCAGCGTCGAATTGCTGCTGCCTCGTGAAGAGCCTTTGGAACCTCGGGAGCCGTCGTTCGACTTGCGACTCTTGCTCGTCGAAGACGCCTGAGACAAAGACTCCAACAGCTCTTGCCCTCCAAATGTTGGATCCATCTTGACTGTCCTCAATTGACTTGATGGTTTCACCACAACACCAAAGGAACAGTACGGAAACTGCGAGTCACGAGTCTATCACACCACACGACTCCAGCATCCACGCTGCTCCTTTGTGGAGAAAAGAGGTCCTTCTGGTCTCTCCTGATGCCTCTCGTTGGTTGCTGCTTGAACACTCAACTCTTCTGTCTAGCCACTCGTAACAGGAACTCTTTCTCTCTCTTGAAAGACCCCGTGGCGAGACTAACAAGGCCGTCCACGCCGCGGTATCTTTGCGAGTCGAGCCAGTATCTTCGCTCTTCGCCTCTTTGCACTAGCTAGTAGATGTAAGTTAACTTGAATGCTTTCTGTTCATTGACATGGATGGCAGGAGTACAGTAGCAGCAGTTGTGTGTATGGTGTATGGCCGATATCAATCTGATCTCTTGCTTCTCTTGTAAAAGAGGATGATGGGTGGAGAGCCCAACCTAGCTTCCGGTACTAGCTAGTAGCTGGCGGGGTCTTCGTGTTGTGCTGCCAACAGTGATGCTCGACAGCTTGCATCCACTCCGTTTTTGGGGCAAACATGCGACATTCCGCTAAAAGAATTGGCGCATCTCCTCCTTGGGATTGATGTGCTGTCTGTTGCCTTCCATTCTGTTCTACCATTCATTTTCAGTCCCGAAGTGCAGCAGTGCGTACGAACACGTCCGAAAAATGTCCAAAGCAGATGTTTCCACCTACAAAGTTGCACCTGTTCTTCACAGTCCTCCCTTCCCCATAATCCTTCCTCACAGAACGCCAGATGTTCCTTACTGCTGCCCACCTGGCAAGGTGCTGATGACTCAGTGATTGGTCGACTCACTCGTTCGACCACGCTATCGTGCGTGGGCACTGCTGTCACGTTTTCACACATTTCCAGAGTTCCATCCCTATCCACGACGCCCTGGAAACTACTGCGAGGAAAGGGGAGAAGCTGCTTGGCCTCGACTCGACTCGACCCTTCTGGTCAGGCTCGCAAAGCTCAGAAGTTAGATCTGCAAGCAAGGCCTTTGGGCGATATCTGGCTCGGAAATGTGGAAGACAAGCACGGCACCAAATGGTTACTGAACTGAGAGCAACAGAGAGGATTGGAGTGATGGGAAGATTTAAATGGTTCCATAGCATGCTTTCTGCCATCGCTGGGCTGCAGTTTGCAGAGACCGGACTCCTGACTGCTTGGTCTGGCCTGCTAGCACTATCTAGCCAGCTAGCTGCATTACTATTGAGGAAACAGAAGACTGGTTGGGTGAAAGATCCTAAGAGTACCGGCACGTGTACCGGTTCGTACCCGCATATCTCCCGAGCCTATCGGTGACAATTGATTGCTAAAAAGTGGAGGGAGAGAAGAATGCTGATGCTGTTTGCATTCACTCTCATCAGAACTTTGAAGTGAGGCAGGCCTTGGGATTGAACAACAGAACAGAGTCTTGGGGCCTGTGGGATATAATCCATGCACACTCCCCAGCTGGAACGGAGGAAGGGAAGCTTCCAGGGTCGGGATTGGGATTCCTTCGCCCAGCAGTGAACCGATACGGCAGGCACATGTTGTAGCCACCGAGACTTGATGCTGCTTGGACATAGAATCATTGAAAAGAAGTTGACCTGCTTTCCAGTGTTTCAGTCCAAGCAAGTACTTGCATTCTTGAGGGCTGCTAGCTAGAGTACCAGCCAGGTACCAGTCTGGTACTCCTAGCTAGAGGCGAATGAAAAGCTGACTGAGGTTGGCATGGATTGCTTCGCCTATGGCTTCCTTTGCAACATTCGCGAGCTCTAGCTAGCTAACTAGTAGGCGTACATTACACTTTAAGTTATTCTTTTAAAATCCAACACTCCTTCTTGGTCTCCACTCACTCACTCACTCCGTGATGGATAAACGTTACATACAAAAAGTATCTGCATGTACGTTCGATGTATGGTGGCACGCCACCATGGCTTTTCCATTGCACTAATATAATGCTGCTACAATAGCTGGCACTGACGACCGAATGAATATTTCCGTAGTGCACTGTAGGTCTTCCAGCCAACCACCAAGCAATCTCGCACCGGTATCTTCTACGGTAGCTAGCTACCAGTGGCTATCTGGCTAATCTTTGATTTCGACAATACATTCGACTTCCGTGGCAATATTCAAGGGCAAGGCATTGGTCCCCACGGCAGACCGGGCATGCATGCCCACTTGATCACCGAATACCTTCACAAACAGATCCGAGGCTCCGTTAATGACGGCGGGTTGTTGATGAAAGGAATCGGCGCATTGGACAAATCCCACCAATTTCACCACACGCACGACGCGACTCCAATCTCCTTGCAAGAATTGCGATAACGTGGCCAGTAATTGAATGGCACAACACTTGGCACTTTCGTATCCTTCCTCAACAGTCAAATCGGTTCCGACCTTGCCGGTCCAGATGCTTCTGCCATCTTGTTTTTGAGGCAAATGGCCCGATAAATGGAGTGGATTGCCTGTGCGGACCGCCAAGCAATAATTTCCCTTGGGAGCTGGTGGATCTTTCAGGGCAATGTCCAATTCCTTTAATCGATCATTTATGTTGCTCATCTCAATGCTGTTGTTGATCGGAGGCTTGATGCTCGAAACAGGTGGTAGAAGAAAGAGCACTAGAAAGGATAGCAGCAGCAACAAGAAAGGAGACCAAAGACGTCGGGGAAGAGTTGTCCTCATGTCTCTCGCCGAGACCAGAAACATCGGTGATGTATTGACGAGGGTATCTTCGAGTGCGATATACTAGGTATGGATCTTTCCCATTTCTTCATCAAGCCCGTGGAGCTGTAATTGCTTCGCGTAAGCACCTGCGTCCTTCTCCTCCAACAGACACGGTGGAGACTTGCTTGGGTTGACAACAGGTACTGTATTGGTTGGGTGGACAACCGGTAAAACCGGTACTAGTAGCTATAGTATTGGTTGGGAGCCCCAAAAGGATCATCAGAGGTGATAATGGATCGATTATCTTTTTAAAAGCAGCCTTTCTTTATGAGCCTTTCTCTATAGCGTAACAATGCCATTCGGCGTATCCAGAGTCGCGACTAGCTGGGGGTCGTCACCATCTTTCACAATCAACAAGTCTTCCAAGTTAGAACCAATCGCTTTTATAACTTTGGTGAGCCCTTCTGGTTCAGGATGAAATGCCTCTAACGTTAGTAGGGTGCATCCTTGGGGTGCAGTTTTGGATGGGTGCACACTGAAAGAGTCTCCCCAGTCAATATAGAACGGCAACAAGCCTCCCATTGGAAGTTCTTCTGACGGCACTGCATGTTTTTCGGAAGCAATCCGCCATGAAATAGTCGTCCCATCTGCTTCGTTTGTCCGACTTCCAGATTCTACGGATTGGGGCAACAAGTCTTTATACACATCGTCGATGCTACTTTGAAAGTGTTGAATCAGGGTCTCAATTCCGGGAGATCTGCAGCAAAAGGTGGACAATCGTGGCTTGGGTCCATCCACACCAATTATCGTCTGCAGAGGAACCTCGGCTTCGGGATCAGGGGCAAAGAGCTCCAAATATCTTCCATTGCCCAAGGCCAAAAAGGCATTGTGTGTACCCAAGCCGAGATGTCTGCCTCCCTTGGTCGGTCGAACTCCTGTCTTATCTTCAAATTCTTGAATGGCGGATTCCAAGTCCGGAGTGACATAAACCAAATGGTCGATCGAGAGATGATGTTGCGACGTTCCTGCCAATGCCGCCGAGGCGAGAAAACGAACAAAAGGTGCCATGGTCAAACAAGAAGGACACTCTGAAAAGTGCGGGATCTGGGGAACCAACCGGCAGAGCTGCCTGTTTGGTTCTGACTTGGTGGTTCCAGTACTGGTACTGCAGTCACGATACTGCTACTGGTAGTTGCAAAAGAATATAGGGTTAATGTTCGATTTTAAAGTTGATCCAAATTCAAATTTGCGTTGCTAGCTAGCGCTAGCTAGCTAGTACCGGTACCGGTACCGGTACGGTACCCCATCTACCTAATGTACCGGTACCAAAGCTGTGGTTTGGTACGGGCAACCCCAACAAAGGAACAGAGGAAGATGATGATGACAAAGACAACCAAGATGCCGCTCTTGCTACTGGTACTGACAGTGTTACTTTATCCCTACTCTGATGCCAGTGAATGCACGGATTGTGTGGATCAAGGATGCACGTATTGCAAGAAGGACGATTTTTTTGGTGATCGCAGCGGACCCAGCGTTTGTGTTTGTGAGGGATTGAATGATGGCTTCTTTGGCCAAAATGCTGGCAAAGGCTGCAGTGACTTTACATTTGGGGCGTCCGAGCTCAAGTCCAAGCCAGACTGTACCTTTGGAAATCAGCAGGGAGAAATCATCACCGCAGTGGTTGTGGTTGCGTGTCTTGCCGTTGTGGCTGCTGTTGGACTGTTTGTTTACAAACGAAGGAAGAGCAGGGCGTATCACCCTCCTGCTTCCACACCAGCCTACGAAAGTGCCACACCAGCCTACAACAGTGAGCCAGTCACACCAACAAGCAGTGTCCTTCCCGTGGTTCGACCTACGGCTCCTCCAGTAAACTCCAACAAACCAGTCCCCATAGCGGCCGCAGTTGCTGTCGACGAAGACAGTCTGCGCGCTCAGGCGGCCATGACAGTGAGTGCAACACCCGTTCCGTACACTGAAAAACCTTCTGGACCGGAGCAGCAGCCCGATCAACTGTGATCGCACTTTTTTCCTGAATTGATGCATCCAAGCTACGGTAGGAAGCTCTTTATCCATGGCCATGCAGACTCTTGCCTGAGTCGAGTCGAGTCGCAAAACAAGCTCACACAAAAACGTTGCCACAAAACAAACATCAAGGCAGACCCGAAAGACCAACCACCAACGAACCAAAAGCACCATGACTGTTCTGTTCAACCAACAGCAAAGTTTTGGAAAGAAATGTGGCTGTGGAACGGTTCAGTTTCAGGCAGATGCATCAGGCGTCCTTGGCAAACCCATCATCTTGTGGAGAGCCTGAAAAAATGCCAACTGCAAGCCCTCTTGGCCATGCAGTCTAACTTTTGGATCCGCTAACTATGTACCGGTATGTAGCCACGAAAGTTGGCAGAGAACGAAAGTTGAAAGCACGCATAGAAGCAAGCAACAGGCAAGTCCATGGCGCAATCGACGTATTCCAGTGTGTCAGTTTTGTTAGAAGTGTAAGTGTAAGGTATACAAAGGTAAATAGAATCAGCTACTGTACAGTCCTTTCCGAACAAACAAAGAAGTCCAAGGGCACTGCAAGCACTTGTTGTTGTTGTTGTTGCTTCTTACAAGTGTCTTGCACATTGGATTGGGATGGCCAATCAGCATCCGGTTCGTTCATTCGTTCAGTTTCGATGCATTCCTGTCAAGGGGTTTTGGGTTTTGGCACTGCATGTTCAGTGCGTCCAGGTTATTGTTGTTGTTGTTGTGAAGAACGGGTATTGTGAGACTTTTTTGTCTTTTTGTTGCGCTTTGTTGTTTCATTCATTCATTCATTCATCAATAATTAGTTAATAATTCTTCGAGGAGGGTGGTACAAATACGATTTGAATTTCCGAGGCTTTTGTAGGTTGCGACTTTTTTGTCACTGGAGGCACCAGTTCTCGGAGCCGAAAATTGTTGAATACTTGATATCGATGGACGACCAGAAGTTCTCGCTGTTGTTGTTGTTGGTCATTGTCATTTTCTTTTCGATCGGTATATGTGCGTGGCTGGAACTTTTTACCCATGACCATGGTTTCTTCCATTGGAAATTTTTTCCTGGAAGACCCTAGCTTGAGCATGTCGACTCGATGAGACAAGTTGATATCGTGTGGTTGTTGTTGTTGTGGATAGAGTGCCTTGACGGAAACAATGGCGGGTCGTTGGGCATTTCCTATTGGTAATTGGAGGTGTCCTTTGATTTGACAGCCCTGTGTGGGATGGTGGTGGTGATTGTGGGATGATGATGATGAGGACGACATTTGTTCTTCTTCTTGTTGTTGATTTGTGTGTTGTGCTTGCTCTGTTTCCTCGTCCTCTTCTAATTTTCGTTGCACGGGAAGTAGGACGTCTTGCTGAGAGAGTGATTCTCGTGTCGTTGTCGCATTGTTGTTGTCGTCTCTCTTTTTGGTACTACTACTACTACTGACAAGCCCACGTGCAATTCGAGCCGACTGTAATTCCTCTTCGTCGACCATGACGGTTTTAAAGACCAATCGATCCGTGGCAGTTTTCGGTGATTCTCCTTCCGAATGGTCCGCTTGTACTACTTGCACCGTCAATTCGTCGCAGGGAATTTGAAAGACTGTCACATTCAGATACAGCGGTACCATGAAGGTCTCGTCTGAGGAGGATTGTGGTGGTGGTGGTACTGCTTTTTCCATGCGAGTGGCAATAGTACTCGTAGTAGTAGTAGTGGTAGTCGTGGCATGGAAATTGGGAGGAATGGATGTGGCCATTCGATCGTCAGTTTTTGTGGCAATGGAGAGAATACTGTCCGAGTTACTAGTAGTTGTAGTTGTAGTTGTGCTTGTGCTGGTTGCTCCACTGACAGATTCCTGAATGGTCTCATCAATCCGCAGTACCAAACAGTAAGCTCCCACAAAACAAACACTCAATAGAATCAATGTCACTGCCACAATCGGAGAAAACGCCCATCGACCGCTGCCAACCGTGGCGTGGGCTGCCGGTGGAAATCCATAGGCATATGTTGGAGACATCATGCCACCGTTGTTTCCACCACGTTTGAGCTTGCAACCCCAACTCTTGCTTTGTTTCGGAGGAATGCTGTGACGACCCACTTGGGTCACCGTCGTAGGTGTGCTGCTGGAAGAAGAGGCATTCGTATTGCTGCTCTTGGAATCCGACGCAGAAGACGACAGCATACCAGCAGCTGTTCGCAGAGGATACAAGTGACGACCTCGTCGGCCCAACAGGAAACGCGTAGTCGGGGCTGGCATGGTACCGTATATCTAGTCTATATACAAATAGCAACAACAACAAATCGATCTCTCTATCTATGTCGGTCAGGTCCAGGATCTATCCGGTTGATTCACTGTGCATGGTGTTATGGTTGCCGTGATCAACTTTCGCAGGATCGTGCATGGTTTTCTCGAGCGAACCGCGAAAGCTGGTGAAGATTTTGTTTGAAGACTGAAAAGCTCCAGAATAGGATTTAATGAATTGTGTCGAAGCATTATTAATAGTTACCAGCCCTAAGTGATGTGAACACAGTCATTCTCCATCTTTTCTATTAATAGCTTTGTTGGCTTGTATTCGTACTGGTATGTATGGCTTCGCACCTTGCACTCTGACCCAAGCTTGACAGGCCTTCATCAACAGTTGCAAGGTTCAATGTTTGCTCCGCATCCGCTAATGTGACGCCGGTGTCCACTTGTGCTTCGTTTCGCTGGAAGAGAAGCCCCTAGCTAGATTGGCCAGGAAGGTTCCCACCCTCAAGTGCTGTATAAACATCAAGGCAATCATGTTCAATATTCAAACTGATAGCTAAGCATCCAGAGGATTTCTCTTTCAGTCTATTTTTGCTAATTCCTATGATTTCTCTTTCTGCCTCGTCTCAAAATGATGCTAGCTAGATGAATAGATATGTAGTTCACAAGCCTTGTTGAGTTTTGTCTATCGTATCAAATAAGCTGTTGTAGACCTTGGGATCCAAATCAATGCCTAGACTTGGTTGTATCTTGTGTTACTCGGCTTGCTGTGGGCACTTTCGAATCCAGCATCAAGATTTGACTCAATGATTAGTAGTAGTATTTGCTACTGCACCGAGGGCTTGCTTTTACTTCACTCAGAATGACAGGCAGCACTTCTGGCCGCCTGTTCCAGTAGAAGGGTTGAGGGCACGATAAGGCCCCTATGCTAAAGAGTTTCCATGATGTGGAAGGGTTGTTGTGTTAGACTTAGACTACTTGATGCGGCCACTTTCGAATCCAGCATCAAGAGACACATCTAGCAGCTAGTTACCGGGTTGGCACAGGCAACGCCAGGTGGCATGTGAGTTCAGTGGAATGTGCTTGCTCGTTTTGTAGTTGTATCCATGCCAATGTAATGGACGAGCAAACAGGAGAGGGGTGGCTGCGGCGGCACAAAGGCTTCGACGCAAAACTAGTGCGGGCACACACTGTCGTTGGCGGCAGAAAGGCTTTTCCGCAAGAAATGTGACGACCTCATGCGATCCTTAGCTCGACAGGCAGGTAGTCGCCAATCGTGTTTTACTAAATAAGCTCGCCTAAGTAACCAAGGAGTATGGTCCTCCCAGTACTTGGCTCGTGCACCCTTGACCCTCTCACAAAATCGCTGCCAAAATCGCCATTTCACGAACCTCGTCGATCGATCGTCGAAGGTGAGGGCAGAACCCATCGCAGGCTATCCTTATTCGCCATTTGGACAAAGCTTGATTGCTCCATCCATTCCATTGGTAGTCAAGCAAACGCCCACTCCCACATGCCTAGCTAGACGAACATTGGTCGCATCGAAAAAGCAGTGTGGGTCAAGACTGGAGCTACTGCAGTGGCAAACCATTGAAAGCTCTTAGTGTTTCGCCGTTGCTGCTGTAGCAAAGATGGCGTCTCTGGAACTGGAAGAGTTTGTGTTTAGTGAATCCATGACAGCGCCGAGTATTAAAGACGAAGATGAGGAAGATCTTTTCGGCGACGATTCCGTCATGGAGGGTGTCGCTGCCATCATTGAAGGTACCGGTACTGACGAACCCACTCCTCTGCCGGATGAAGAGGAAGTGGAGGACTTGTTGAGTGCCAAACTCATGAATGGCTTTATGCTACTGGAAATACCTTGTCCTAGATGTTTGATCCCTCTTGTCAAAAAGCCCGTGGATGGTACTGATCACGGCCACCACACCGGTAGTGCGGACCGCAAACCCAAACTTGTTACTCCCGCCAGCATTGCGGCAATTCCAAAACCCATCAAGGGGATTCCCTTTTGTGTCATTTGCGAAAACTACGTCGTAACGACACAAGAGGAAATCCAATGGCTGACGCAACTCAAATACTTGGGAGAAATGCAAGATCAACAGCAACATGGGTCGTCCGAAGAAGAAATGGTCACCATTGATACACGCACACTCATGGAGTTGACCGCCAAATTGGAGGGCAGCAGTACTAGCAAAGCCAGTGCCAGCATTCGGACACCGTCCATTCTCAACAGTACGCACGAAGAACTCTCTACTGCCGCTCCAGAGCAACAGGATTGGCTCTCGCGACAAAGCAGCAGCGCAACCAATAATACGCCAAGCAATAGCAGCATGTCTTCCATGATCCTGTTCAAACAATCATTTTCCAAGTTTCACAAGAGCCCCAAGAGCAGACGGAATCGACGCAGCATGGATTCTTCTTCGGTGGTCTCCAATAATAGCGGCAGTAGCTACTGCACGTTGCGTGGAAAACGTCTCATGGGGATTGCGGCCTCGCAGGACGATGAAGGAGTTGAAATAAGAATGGAAGGATCGTCCGTGGCCGTATCTTTGGAAGATTCATTGGCCACGGACAACAAGTCGGCCGCTTCGCAACAACAACGAGAAGCACGGGACGAGGATATGGAAGCCATCGGTGCCTTGTGGAAATTTGTCAGTAGCGATAACGATGATGCCGACGAACGAGAATTGGTCCTTCCCGAACATGATTACGGTGATGATGAAGGAGAAGAGCCACCCAATTTGGATCTGCTGCAACACGAATCATCGGAAGGCTCCGATCGCAGCATGGTCCCACCGCCTGATCCTCTAAAGAAAACCACTCGACCACCTCTACTGCCACCCACCGCTACACGACAGACGGATTCCATGACCACCGCGGAAGAGACCGACCTGGATGATACCGTGGTAGGAAACACGCAAGAAGGAGAAGACGAAGGCGTTCCCAACGAAGACTCCATGGGATCGTTCGACAACGTTGGTAACAACAACATGGTGATTGTGTCCGATAGTATTCATTACATTGACACTGACCAAGAAGACGACGGACAACAGCAACAGCAGCAACAACGACAAGTGAAGCGATGGAAGAAGTAGAAGAAGAAAGTGATCCCACTGATGAAACCCCCGAAGAGGAAGAAGAAGCAGAAGAACAAGAGGAGGAAGAGAGGAGAAGCAGAGGAACAAGAACAAGAAGAAGAGACCGAAAGTCGGGCAGTAACAGTGGACACTCCATTCGAAGAGGAAACGTCGACGACTCCTCCATTTGAGGAAGAGACCACTACTCCGGACTATGAAACTATAACTCCCGATTACGAAGATGATGATGATGATGATGATGATGATGATGATAACAGTGACGAAGTGCAAGTGGTGGATGTACAAGAAACACAAGAAGAAGAAGAAACAACTTCAGAAGAAAAGACTGAACAACCAGAAGAAAGCTCGGGAGATTACGCAGAAGATGACACTGGCAATGCCAGTGTTACAGAAGCCACAGAGACGTCTTTCTTGCCATTCTCATACTCGAAGGAAGATGTCCAGGTCCTCCAGAGAACATTGGAGTGGGAGAAGGAACGACTCAAACTGGGCAAATCATCCACAGGAAGTACCAATTCTACCGATGAATTGGTTACTTTGGAAGACCTCTATGGTAGCATTGATGCGATCAGTCCCAAGGGCAGCGGCAGTGCTTCTGAAGGTACCCTGCAGCAACAGCTTGAAAAAGAGTTGCTCAAGAGCACCGATTCAGACCTGAATTACCGAAAACTACCTGACCTTGGTATGATCGAGGGCATGGCCACATCCGAGGTTTCGGAAACTTCGACAGCCGACATTGCATCGGCAAAACGCAGGATTGAAACCGCAACCCAGGCAATAATGATTGAAGAGGCCAGGACTAACGCGTCGAGCAAGGCCCGTCGCTTCATGAGACCATCACCCAAATCACCATCGCTAATGGACGGACAGGAGGAAATCGACGTGGCCTCAATCGTTCAAAGTCTGGCTGCGGTGACAGAGGAGGACGAGCTCGAATCCCTTGCTGGTTTTGAATCTGTCTTCAAAGATGATATTGCTTCCAAGGCAACAGCAACGACGATGGCATCAGGATCATTGTCTGGTGGTAGCTGTCTTAAGAGCAGTGGCAGCGGTGCCATGGAGGATGAAATGATACAAGAGTACGCTGTCCGGTACGTGCTTGGTATTTGAGTCGTGCCCCCCCTTGCCAGCGATGATTATGCTAACTAACATTTTGTCTTTGCCTTCAAATTCGCAGGCGGGAAATTGCTACGAAAGTGCTGGGAACCAAAATGTTGCAGGGGTATTCTCTCAGGGAGAGCCAATGCGAGCAGTGTGGAATGCCGCAGATGGAATTCAAGTCGATTGTCCATTGCGTCGTGTGCCCCGTACTTGCCAAGAAGGCAAAGAAGGAAATACGCAAAATGCAGAAGTTTAAGAAGCAAGGATATCTTTCCAACGAGGATGAGGATGCTGCCAAGACCGAGGAAGAAGCCATCGTGGATCAGGTACTACAGAAGCATGAAGACGAGACGGGCAGCAAGAATATATTTGCTTTGTTGGCTGATCAAGACTCCAATAAGAGTAGTGTCAAGTCGATCTTGGTTGAACAAGGCTCCGCCAGCAAGAAGACAGTAAGATCACTATTGGAAGATGACAATGTCAGCAAGAAGAGCATCCAGTCATTGTTGCACCAAGTAGATTCGTGCAGCAAGAGTCTCAAGTCTGTGCTAGCTGAAGAGAACGCCAGCAAAGAGACTCTAAAGTCGCTATGTTTGGAAGAGGAATCTAGCAAGAAGAACCTACAGTTGTTGTTGGAAGAAGCATCGGTTCTAGCCGACGGGGGGGCTTCGACTGTGTCTTCCAAGAAGTCAAAGGGATCTTCTAAGAAGACAAAGGCAACTTCGTCTTCCATGACGACTTCATCTTTAAGCGCAAGCACAAAGCATCAGACGGCATATGCAGTGAAAGCGGAGGAACTGAGAGAGAATAAACGGCTTCAGGAGCAGAGGCTGAGGGAGGCACAAAAGAAGCGCGAAGAAGCACAAAAGGCAAAGGAATCCCGAAAGCAAGCTCAACAACACGACGCGGTAAGCGAAGCCAGGTCGTCTCCCAAGACAAAGTCTCCCAAAGCAAAGTCTCCCAAGTCGTACGATGCCCTGAGTGAAGCGAGGGCCACCCCAAGGGCCGGCGCCTCACAGAAATCTAGCCCTTCAAGAAAAGGGCAAAAGCCACCGATTCCGTCACCGAGGAGGTCGTCCGGTAGCACCAGCTCAAAGTCAAGCGCTCATCGAAAAGGGTTGCCACCCAAAGGCGCCCCAAAGAAGACGTCGAACATTGTTGAAACACAGAGGAAAGTGCAAGAAAAGCAAAAAACGACTAAGTCTGGGAAATCGGTACAAGGTTCAGTGACGAGTTCCTCGAACGACAGCTGGCTCTGCATTGCCTCAAAGTCTCCATCAAACATCAAAACTGCTGACTCTCGTCGGAAACAGCTTGATACGAACGAAAAGATTCTGCTGGAGGAAGCCAGGGTTGCTTCAGAGGAGAAAAAGAAACTACATAAAGAAGAGAAAGCTGCGTTAGGAGATAAAAAGCGATTGAAAGATATCAAACGGCGAAAAGAGGAAGCATCTCGAGAGGAGGAAATGTGCAAAGACCAACTGAAGCTAATCGTCGAGACAAAACGACTGGAGACAATGGAGCGGATGCGTCTGGCAAACGAGATCGAGTTCAAGTCTCCGCAGGAGAGCTTGTTGGCAGTGTTCGCGCTTCAAGAAGAGCGGAAGAGATTGAGAAAGGAAGCAGCGCGACAAAAAGAAATTCGTGCCCTCGAAATCGCTCGAAAAGAGGCGGAACTTGAGCAAGCTCGACAGGCTGCAAAACTTGAGGAAACGCGTCGTCGAGCAAATATGGAAGTACATCGTCTTGAAAGCGCTGAACGCGAAGCGAAAGAAGCGAAGAGAATTGATGAGCTGGAGAAAGAGGCGAAACGGCAAGCGAAAGAAGCCGAAAAAGCTCTGAAGAAGGCAAAAGCTGCAATGGAAGACATCAGCACTGGCCGGAAGGACTTGATCGCCGACGTCATTTCTCAAGCAGAAGCCGACACTGTTGCCGAGACCGAGGCCATTGTCAGAGCCGAAGCAGAGGATTACCACGAAGATAAAATGGTTGGATCGTCGGCATCTCTTTGGAGAGAACGATGGGAAACTCTTCGATTGGAAGGGCGGTCGGTGATGACACGTCGTTTGATCGCTGGCTGGACAATGTTGCCAAAATATTGCAAAGGTCAAGAATGCCAAAGTTCCCCGTTGTTGCAGAAAAATTTCAAGACCGAATGCGTTGTCTGTGGAGGCAGTGGCAACGGGAAAGACGGAGCCTATTTCACCCCGGAGGCTTCTTCAGAAAGTGAGAAGGACGTATCATCATCCTCGGACTATGATGAAAACGTCAATGTCAAGGTCGCCCCGTCCACAGTTGCAAAAATGTCCACCTTCGCGACCATCAATGCTGTAGTGTCTGATCTGTCCATCATGCCTCCGTTGCCCAGATCTCGTGAAAGTAAAACATATTCTTCGGACATGCCATCTGTAATTCAGCCGTCAAAGACGAAGCTCAGCATGCAGTCCGTCAAGGAGATCCACGAAGACTTCGAGGAGAAGAGGCGAAGGGTCAGCAAGGAAATCGGAAAGCGAATGCTCCAGGGTTGGACACTGCTTGACATGTCATGTCCAATTTGTGTGATGCCTCTTTTGACAGACGAAGAAGGCGAAAACGAAATCTGCGTCCTCTGTGGTGTAGTTGGAAAACTGAAGAAAGACGCGACGGAGGACGATCAATGCAACGCGCGGTGCGATGAACAAAAGGATCGCATGAATGTGGGATGCGAGGAAGGAAGACAACAGATCCAAGCGCTGAGAAGTGACTGCGAAAATGCTGCCCCTGAGTACGATTGCGAAGGAACGACGGCTCCTGTCGTTGAATGTACGAGTCAGACAACTGAGTTCGTGAGTGCTGCTCGGAAGGATATCGGGGGAAAACTCGACTTTTCTGAAGCCAACGCCGAGTTTGCCAAGAAGGCCAAGTACTTTATGGATCAGAGGCGACTGGAACTAGAAGAGACAGTTGGCCCGGAGCGAATGGCGCAGTTTCATGAAATGCACGACCACTTGGTAGAGACAAAAGGCCATCTCACTGACATCTTCAAAGAAGGCGAGGAAGTTATCGGCAACCAGATCAAACAGACAGGCAACCAGATCAAACAGACAGGTGAATTGGTTTTCCAGAAACCGGCAGTTCAAGGAATGGTTGCCATCATGTCCGAGGCGCCGTGCAGCCCCAGATCTCTTGATATTGCTGCTACTCCTTGTTCCCCCACGGCAAACACGGCCGCGCTGCAACAGGCAATCAGTGCAAAGGCCTCCTACGGTTTCTTGGGCGGGGACCTTGATGACGAGGACGAGTTGGGCCTGTCAAGAAGCAGCTTGAGTGCTCGTGGCCTGAAGATTCCAAGCTTTCACCGTTTATCTGCATTCGAGGGGAAGGGTTTGATAAATCCCACTTCTAACGACGAGGAGACTGAAACCTCTATTCCGAGAGATGCTTTGTCCATGAAGCCGTCAGCTGCCACATCTGTCATGAATGCCAACGCACTGCAAACGAAGCAATCGGAGAAAACAGCCCAGCAAGTTGAAGTGCACAAAGTGATGGTCAAGAAGCCACGCCAAGATCCGCCAAAGCAGGCAACAAAAACGATGAAACCGACAAAGCCGGCAGCAGCAGCTATCGATCAAGATTTGCAACAGACGAAGTCGGGAGCAAAGAGTCTGCACAAAGCACGTACTACGGAAAGCTCATTCCAGGATCTTGCGAACCAGCTGAGCAAGGCCGACGCCAAATTTCGGGAAGACTACAAAAAGATTGTACCTTCCGTGACAGAAGACGACACCCTCGGCACTATGGATTCGATGCAACCAATGTGTGACCTATCAATCATTGAAGACTCGAAGCCCTCGTCCCCGTCAAAACAGAAACCTGTCAAAAAGGGAGCGGCCGCAGTTGCTCTCGAGATGATCAAGGACAAGAAGAGTAAGGGCACAAGGAAGATTGAAGTCAAGCCTGTGGAGAAGCCTAAGGAGCCTAAGAAGGAGCCCAAGAAGGATCTTACTAAGAAGAAGGACATCAAGTGCTTTACTTTCTCCGAAGGCAACCGGGTCTTGAAGAATCTCACCATTGATACCTCCCCAAGCAAGCATGCCGCGGAAACCCCAATGAGTCCTAGGACCCCGAAAACGACAACATCACCGGCCAAGTCTCCTCTCAAGTCGCCAAAGGCAAAACCAAGAGGCTCACCAAAGGCAGCAAACCCTTTATCCCCGAGGAAACCTTTATCCCCGAGGAAACAACATGGACAGCCTTCCCCGACGATCGGAAAGTCTCCGTCGTCACCGTCGCCACGACCATCTGGGTCGCCAACCAAAAGCTACAAAGATTACAACGAAAGACTGAACCAGTTGCTTGCAGAAAGTCGGTCGCCGATGAACTCATCCAGGTTCGCGGGAACAAGGTCGGCACCTACATCCCCTCAGAGATCAATCAGGCGGAACTCGCCGGACTATCTCATACACTCGATCGCCGTTCGTAGGAGTCCAACGAACGTACATGCGGACCCCCCAGCCATGGTGTCGCACCATGTCATTGGGGCAACTGGACGACGAGTTGCAAGGGACCCTGAAGACAGATCCGTTGTAGACGAGGACAACATTTCCTTTGCTTCTCGGTCTCCTCGATCAAGGCTTTTTGCTGGGGTCTCCCCAGGAGGAAGGTCGCCTTCACCGAGGTCTTTCAGTTCGCCGAGATCTTTCAATTTTGCAGAATCTCCTAGAGTACGCAAGATGAAAGAAGACTCACAAGGAGTTACACTTGTTATTCCCAAGAACTTTGATGTTACTAACGATGAACAGCTTCGAGACCTCATCATGGCCGCCAAGCAAGGCTCAGGCCCATCACCCTCTCCCAGCAATCGGTTGGAGCTGGAAGGTAGGATCAGCCATATGGGTGACACTGAAATCATTGACGTTATTGATCTGGTGCTCCCTGATGATGATGTCGATGAGAATTTCAACTCTGCCAATAGCCCACGAAAGCTGCAAATTCAAACCAAGACAGACTTCACGCACGCCCCATCTCCAGGAGAAAGGGCGAACAGTTTGCCAAGCCTTCGCGAGTCTCCTAAAAGCGGCGAAGATGATATTGTGGTTGCTCGTATGCACCCTCCTTCCCCTGGAGAGTCACAATTCAACAAGAACCCACCTTCCCCAAGCGATTCCTTTGTCGATAACGCTCCACCAGCTCGAAGGAAAGCTCGTCCCAAGATTACACCAGAGTCCATGTTGAACCGAATGAACAACAGGAATAAGTCCAAGCTAACTTCAATTGCAGAGTCGCACGGGTCCCGGCCAAGGGCTAGCAAAAGCCGCATGCTTCCTTTGAGCCCCGCCACGAGCAGCAGTGTTCACCTGACGAGTACAAGAGAAGAAGAAGTCCATGTCAGCAGTGGCAGTGGCAGTGGAAGCAGCATCAAGCTGGAACACGCAGCAGAACACTTCTTCACCAGTCAGAGCAACAGTACCGACCTGTCTTCCGGCGGAGACAGACCCAATAACCGCCACGCAGTCTTGGCCAACATGTCGTTCTCGAGCAGCGGCGAGGACAGCCGATACAGCCACTACACGAGCAGCACAGGCAAGAACGTCAGGTCTATGACCGACTCCGTGATGTCGTTTTCCACCCGAGAAACGTCAGCAGCGAATTCTGGTTCAATGGCTAATCCTGGTTTGCCACCAATGTCTCCTCCGTCCGTGTGGTCCAGGCCGGATTCCAGGAGATTCGTCAACAACGACCCTCCAGATGGTCGAGGCACTCCAGATGGTCGAGGCACAGAGAGCAGCATTGCATCTCCCGCGGATACTCGCAGCACAAGTAACAGGACTCAATATCTTGGCGACGGAAGTACCGTTGCTTCCCGCGATAGTGGTTTCGAGACAGGAGTTACTCTGGGGCGCAGCAGCAGTAGCGATCAAAGTTATTCTCGCCCAGACAACAGCGGTAGATATTATCACCATCACCAACACCAACCACACCAACCACACCAACAACACCAACAACCCCTGCCCGACTCTTTCACATCGTCGGACAGCGATTGCAAGGAAATTGTGGTGGTCGACTCTCAGGGATCAGGAGGCATCGAGGTGGCAGCCGCCCCTGGCGTACGCGAAAAGACTGCCACTCCTCGAACTCCTCGCCGGAGCCGTCGGTTAGCCGCCGCAGCCAAACAACTCAAGGAACGATCGGCGGCAAGAGGAGCACTGAGGGGTAACCCAAGCGATGTTCTTTCGGTGAACTCTACAACGTTCGATGGCATCATTAGCCGCATCGATACGTGCAAGTCGAAATTGGGTCCAAGCGCAAACGAAGCCGGGAAAGAGGGTGTTCGCAACCGCAAGATTGCCAGTTTGATTGGGAAGCTGACCGTGGCTGCAGCCGACGTGTCCACTGTGGGCGGCGACAGCGAAATCATGATGGGCGAAGATGCTCCTCCCGGAGGCTCGGTAAGACAATAAGAATGGATGACGATGTAATAAGGACGTCAGATTGAGGGCATTGAGCAAATCCAACATTGCTCACAATCTTAAAAAATACATGGGACGGCGTCACTAGTATATGACTACATACGACACATCACGCGGCATGAGTAGAAAAACTTTTATAATAAATATTGAGAGTTTTAATGATGAGTGAATGATGAATCCGCCCGTACTAAACTAAGGCCCAGCTCATGTATTTGCTGCGTGGTCGAAAAGAGACAGATCTGCCAGCCAGCAAGCAAAATTCTGTGCAGAGCCAACAACTGCAATCCTTCAACACAACACCCAGGCAGGCGCCTAGGCGCCACTGTACTTCATTCAGGACTGACTTCACCATAAGGCACAATCCCGTTGCCGCAATGGACGTGGCTGCACGAACAAAGGGGGAAATGGATAGAAACCTGCTCGAACAAGATTTCCTATGCCCCAATCTTCGCACCTTGCTTGACAAACGGACAATGACCCCCAACGAAAGCATAACGTCGTTGTCTTCTCAACCTTCGATAGGCTTGTTTACCGCAACGAGAAGTTTGTTGTTCCCTCCTTGAAATTCTAGTCTAGCTAGTAAGAGAAGCATTGTTCGCACTTCACACTTGATAACTTTGCTTGTACCGATGTTACGTTGCAGCTGTTTCTGTTTCTGTTTCTGTTTCTGTTTCTGTTTCTGTTTCTGTTTCATACAAGCATATTCATTGTCAAATGATGCATCACCCTGCCTGTCGTTCTGTTCTGTTTTATCATTTCTTTGCCTTTTTGGCAACGGGTTCGTCTTCGTTGTCCTTTTTGTCGTCACCCTCCTCTCCCAGTTTGTGTTTGCTGTTGCTACCATCGTCTTGCTGTTTCGTTTCTTCCTTGTTGTTGTCATCCGCATTCAATGGGAATTCAAACATCCACTGAATCCCAAATTTGTCCACCAAAGATCCAAAGTAGGATCCCCAGAACTGTTTGGCCAAGGGCATGAGTACTTTTCCACCTCCACTCGTCAATTCCTGGAACAATCGATCGGTTTCCTGCTTGGTGTGCGGCGTCAATGAGATTTGGGTATTGTTTCCCAATTGGAAGGGTTCCTTGTGCATCATGGGATTGCGATCACTTCCCATCAATTGGAATTTGTCGCCCATCCCAATATCCAAACTGCAATGCATAATCTTGTCATGGAGTTCCTTGGGCATTTTGTCCTTCATCGGAGAGTCACCGTTGGTCATGTTGGTCCCGAGTTTCTTTTGAAAGACCGTCGAGTAATGCGCAAACGCATCGGCACAGTTGCCATCGAATGTCAGGTAGATTCCAGTGGACTTCATCTTTCTTGATGGTTGGTTGATGAATGAATGAATGAATGAATGAATGAATGAATGGAAAAGAGGAGGTCAATCAATTGAGAAGTGATCGAGAGAGTGCTTTATGAGCCGCTCCTTGGGATGGCTTTGGTCTTGAGGTGAGGTGTCTTTGCATGTTGGTGTTCGCTGTAAACTCGATAGAACTTCGTGCCATGGAACAGTCTCGATGTTCCGCAACGATTTCATGTGAGCTTTAGCCCTAATGAATAATGAGCAAAAAAGATACTTTTACGGGATTTCAAGTGGTGTCAAGAACACCGGATCGATCTTTTGCAGTGATGTTTGGTTCTTCCACGCTGCGCTGCGAGGCTTCCCATTCCCATTCACAACCACAAACATCATCGGCCTTCTTGTTCTATTCGAGTCTCAGCTTTACACGAACCTGTTCCATATCCATATCTTTTGAAGGAGTTACATTGCTTGACGATGATTCTCTCTCGCTTGTTGACTACGGCTGCCAAGACGGCACCAGCATCTTCGCGGTTTGTGCAGGTAACAACAGTATTTCTTTTTCGATTCTCATTTTGTGTTTTGCAGAAACTAATATTCTTCTTCTTGTTTCTTGCTACAAAGAAATCGCTCTTATCTTCTTCGAGTCAATCTCATTTGATTGTCAACGCGGTGGGCAAGGATCGTCTCGGAATTGTGTCGGAGATTTCCAAGCACGTGACCGATATTGGTGGCAATGTGGGAGAATCGCAGGCTACCAAATTGGGTTCCCACTTTAGCATGATGATGTTGATTCAAATTCCAGCGGAACAAAAGGAACACTTTGAATCCCAGTTGGCCACCATGGCGGACATGAATACCACCGTCTTTGAAACCGAGGCTGCTTCTACTACTGCTGTATCGCCTCAAATTGCCTATTCGGGATACTTTCAACTGGAAGGCGCCAACTATCCCGGCATCGTCCACAAGGTGACGACGTTTCTGGCACAGAATGGATTGTCCGTCGATCGATTGGAGACCAGTGATGCCGAAATTGCGCCCCACGGTGGAACCTGTCTCTTTCAAATGAAGGGAATTGCCAATGCTTTGGAACCATTGGCCGCAGGATTCAGTGTCGAACGAATCGAAGAGGGAATTGACAAGTTGGCCGATGAACTCAATTGCGATATTACCATTCAAAATGTTACTCACGGCGATGCAGACGATGCCATGAGATATGGATCCTAATTTTTATCTTTTATTCAATGATGTTACAGAGTGACTTGGAAGGAAACAATACCAATCAAAAGGAAACGAAGAAACGAAACAATACAAAACAAAACAAAAAAGAACGAAAGGAAATGAATAAGCAACAACATGCATACTATAAAACATATATCCTTTGCTCACTGAGAAAGAAGGACTGGTTTGAGCTTGATCCACAAATGCTGAGAACGATGTGGCACACTTTCTGTGCTGCTCCAATCAAAACTACCACTAGTAGTATCCCAGTTGGCCAAAATCGTGGTACGTCCCAACAGAAAGAATATCGCTGGTAGCTAGTCATACCGAAATCTCCAAAACTCAAGTCGATGCCTTTTGATGAATTTGACACTCTTGCTTCCTGCTGTGGTTATCCATAGGGTAGCCGAAGGCAAGCCATAGTTTCGGCTAAGAAAGGCTTGGGCACTAAAAAGTACCGTAGTCATTCAGTAACGCACCGGCAACCTGAATTGGAACCAGGAGTGTGGTCTGGTGTAGTCCCGGAATGGCACTCTAGCTAGAGGAGTAGGGCTGGAGATGGACCAGGGGTTAGTCCAGGAGTAGGTCCTGGTGTAGATGTTGGTACGACCGGTAGAGTTAGCCTTTGTGTGCGGGCCAGGAGTGAGGCCTAGCTACTAGACATGAACTATGGGTACCGGTAGGCACAGTGAAGTCATCAAGACCAGAGAAGCTGCTGGGGGGTTCTGAAGTCAACAGTTCAATTCTTGAGCTCTCATCAGGCCAAGCCATCGACCGCCTTGAACTGCTACCGGTACCTGCTTTGCTGTCTTATACGGTACTAGTAGCGTATCTTTTGATGGACAGATGGATCTTGGTTCTGAGCTTCAGCGGAAGCCTCTGCATGCATGCAAGAAGACTACGAGTATGCACTTTTACGCTTTTACGTCCTTCCAGTTATTCGAGCTCTGGTGATAGAGTAGAAGAATAGAATGAATCACCGATTGCTCTACTTTCAAGTTCTTGTCGCCTCTCGTTATTGCTTTGCTCCCTCTTTCGCTTGCTCTCTTGCTCGGGCCACCAGTACCAGTGCTTCTTCCTCTGATTATTTATTTCGCCGCCATTCCTCATCGACATCGACATCGACATTCAAAATGGCAACCTCACCGCAACAATGGACTGCCGATGATCCTCAAGATGCTGCCCAAGCCCGTTCCAAGTTGAATGTATGGCCGTTGGACGAACACAATGCCGTTCTCCTCAATCAAGTTCATCCCAAAGAATTCCAGGATGCCACGCCACACGAAGAATACGATTTGATTGCCATTGGCAGTGGCGCGGGTGGGTTGGTGTCGTCCAAACAATCGGCACGGCGTGGGGCCAAATCGGCCATGATCTCGGAACATCTGGCCGGTGGCGATTGTCTCAATGTGGGATGTGTCCCCAGCAAGGCACTGCTCCGATCCGCCAAAGCCGTGGCGGCCGTTCGAGACGCCGCCCAATTTGGGGTCGTTATTGGTGGAGATATTAGCGTCGATTTTGCGGCCGTCATGAAACGAGTCAGATATTGTCGGGCTAAAATTGCTCCTGCCGATGGACATGTCGGTACCGAAGCTGCCGGAACACATGTCTATCAAGGCAGAGGGGTCCTCACGGGAGCCAATACGGTGGAAGTGAATGGCAAGACTTTGAAATTCAAAAAGTGTGTCATTGCCACGGGTGGACGTCCCACTATTCCCCAGAATGTGCCAGGTCTAGAGGAAGCACCCTACATTACCAATGAACAATTGTTCAATCTCGAACAGCTACCGCCCCGCATGGTGGTGCTGGGTGCGGGAGTGATTGCACTGGAAATGGCACAGTGTTTTGCCCTCTTGGGAAGCAACGTAACCGTCATTAATCGCTCATCGAGGCTCTTTGAATCCAAACAGGGAGATGCCGAGGCTGCCGCCATTATTCAAAAAGCACTCGAAAGTCACGGTGTCACCTTTCTTTCCAATGCCAAAATTACAAAGGTCACCACAATCGATGCTGGTTGTTCGGAATCCAACAAATTGCCAGTGATGCAAGTCACTGTCAATGACAAGCAAGACCTGGGCTGCGACTGTCTCTTGGTTGCTGCGGGACGTTCTGCCAATGTCGAAAACATGGGCCTCGAGAACGCCTATGTCGAATACGATCTTGGAAAGGGAATTGTCGTCAATGATTTCGGTCAAAGTAACACCAACCCTTCCATCTGGGGTGTGGGGGACTGTGTGGCAGATGTCCCACGTCTGACGCATATGAGTGGAGAAATGGCCAAAATGGTGGTGCAAAATGCATTGGCAGGAGATGATTGGAAACTCAGTAGTTTGGTGGTACCGGCTGTGGCGTATACAGAACCGGAATATGCCACCGTAGGAGTGGTCTCCCAAGACGCGGCTGCCAAGCAAGGACTGGAAGTCGATGTCTATCGTGCTGGACTGGAACACAATGATCGTGCCATTTGCGAAGGAAACAATGTCGGTTTTTGCAAGATTCTCTGTAAAAAGGGAACGGATGAAATAGTGGGAGCCACCATTGTGGCAGAACGAGCCGGAGAAATGATCAATGAAGTGTCTCTCGCCATCAAGAACAACATTGGCCTCTATGCCATTGGACGAAACATTCATAGCTATCCCACCACAGGAGAAGCTGTCATGGGATGCGGCGTCCAGTACATCAATTCCAAGTTGCCACGGTTTGATTGAGTTCTTTTGACACTGTGAGAGGAAAGGCAGTATAGCACGGATTCTAAAGCGTTCTTTGTATTCTTTCTATGGGTTCAGCTACGGTAGCTAGTCATAGCCGTTGACAGCCGACCAACATCACGAAAATTGGTCCTATTACTTCGTGCTATACAATCGGTCTCTAGCTTTTTCCTGCGCCGGTGCATCGTTGGTTCTCGCACGGTTCTGTAAGTTGCGGCCCGTCCGCTGTATTTTCTTGATATCTTTCAGAAGGTCTTGTTTGCTGGGCTGCCTGGCGTTCATTATCACTGCCAAATCTTTGTTGGAGAGCTTACGTTGCAACTTTGGTCGACCACTGGCAGGGTCGGCACTGTCAGCATTGCGGGTCTCATTCTTTCTCCTTGCGGATCTCCTATCTTCCATCTGGGTGTCTTGCATCTCCGTGGAATCATTGTTGTTTCTGTCCGACGATGCACGAGCAGGATGCTGGCTCTCTCTTCTCGTACCGCGGTACGAGCAGGTGGCTGTTGACGGTGTGAAGAATTGTCATCCGAATCATCGTCTTCCTCGTCGGAATCGTTGTTGGAGAGGTAAACAGGAAGAAGAGCGAAGCGGTCGAGTTCGTTCATTGACAGGTAATTGCCACTATTGCGACGCTTTATGCTCGTGTCCATATCAACAATCTGATCCAGCTTGGAGTGGTATAGACGTAGCTGTCATCCCCATCGTCGGATTTGCTACCATCCCGTCGCTTTTGAAACTACGAGAAAGAAAGGCACTACCGCAAGGATTCTAAAGCGTTCTTTTTATTTATTCATTCCATGGATTCAGCTAAAGCTACTTTAGCTAGTCATAGCCGTTGACAGCTGTGACCAAAATCACGAAAATTGGTCCTGTAGAATCAGAATCTTATTTCGTGCCAATAGGTCTCTAGCTTTTTCCTGCGCCGGTGATCACCTCGACGCCACCCATATAACGCCGGATTCTAGAACCAGTGACGAACAAGGATGCATCGTTGGTTCTCGCACCGTTCTGCAAGTTGCGGCCCGTCCGCTGTATTTTCTTGATATCTTTCAGAAGGTCTTGTTTGCTGGGCTGCCTGGCGTTCATTGCGGCTGCCAAATCTTTGTTGGATAGCTTACGTTGCAACTTTGGCCGACCACTGGGTTTGGCACTGTCAGCATCATGGGTCTCTGTACGTCGATTCTTTCTCCTTGCGGCTCTCCTATCTGTCATCTGGGTGTCTTGCATCTCCGTGGAATCATTGTAGTTTCTGTCCGACAATGCACGAGCAGGACGTTGGCTCTCTCTTCTCGTACCACGAGCGGGTGGCTGTTGATGGTGGGAAGAATCGTCATCCGAATCATCATCCGAATCGTCCGAATCATCGTCTTCCTCGTCGGAATCGTCATCGGAGAGGTCAACAGGAAGAAGAGCGAAGCGGTCAAGTTCGTTCATTGACAGGTAATTGCCGCTTTGGCGACGTTTTATGCTCGTGTCCATATCAACAATCTGCTCGAGCTTGGAGTGGTAGCTGTCATCGTCGGATTTGCCGTCATCCTCGTCGTCGGATTTGCTGTCATCCAGCAGATTGCCATCACGAAAGGATTGACTTAGTTTCTCGAGCACGGTTCCCGCGGCTACCGGCGTAGAACTGGAATTCTTCCTGGGAGAGACCTCTTGCATCCTCCTGACGGGCTTTTTGGGTGGCATGGCAGATTTATCACTCGCTTTGCCCCGTCGCTGGAATTGAAATGAGCTCTTGTGAGGCGGTGACATGGATTGATTGCCCGAGTCAGAACGACCAGAAGAGCTCCCACGAATGCCACTACCACTAGCAGTTCGATTTGGTGGTCGGCGAACCTGCATCCTTGCAACACTTCCACTCTGAGATCTGCCAGGCGGTCGTCTGATTGGTCCTCTCTTCATGACGCCCATGCTACTCGATCGATTCGGGGGGCGTCGGACTGGATTTGCTTCTGAGCGGGTGGATACATCCATGGGGTCGGCGCCTGCTGATGATCGAGAAAGCGCAGCCAACTGCGCCAGTCTTGAGTTGTCCTTCTTCACAGTCCTTTTGGGTGAGTTGGAGATTTTCTCGTCCATGTGGCTCTTCATGTGCCCTTGCCTCAGACTTGATCCTTGTTGCCTCATCGGTGATGCTGTTCGACCAGCCTTGGGCGAACGATGGTTCGAGGGTGGAACGGGACTCCTGCCGCTGCGCCTCTGACTGGTGCTTGGGGCATTCATAGATTCCTCCAACATGGTACTGATTGATTCATTCAACATCTCTGTCGTGCGGTGCGCCAATTTGTCTGTTAGTGAGGTAGCTCGCTTCATGTTTGCCAATTTTGGCATCCCTATGTTCTTCCACCCTGCATCATCATCGTCCTTTTCTCTCTTGTCAGGTTTTGTAGGCTGCAGCGACGGAGCCCCCAACGTGGCTGCCAAGCGTCCCATGGGTGTAATGCCTAGGGATTTGGAACGCCGCATGGCAGACTTAGGCGAGAGTTCTCCTTGCTGTGAAGTCCACGTTGAATTTCGAAGTTGTGGAGGTGATCGACCCCTGTTCTTTGCTTCTGACCCCAGACCGTGTGCCCGGCTCACTAATGCTTGCAGACTATTGAGTTCCGAATCCAGAGTGCTTTTTGAATGCCCAGAATCAGCATCGAGCGAATAAACTCGGGTCGGCTGCTTCGCAGTGTTCCTCTCGACATTGGAGATCCTCTTAAGCAAGGTTTCTCCTGCTGCAGAAGCCGCAGTCTTGAGCTTCGTGTGCGTATCCAAAGAGGTACTTCTGTGCAAAGGAGGACCTTGGCTAATCTTCTTCAACAGACCCTGCACTTCCTTTTGAATTTTTGACGACTTTGTTGGATCGTTACACCAATTGCACTCTTGTGCTTTGGTATCAGAGTGACCGTGCGACGAGCCCTGCTGCTTAGGAGAAACACTGTTGTCCCGAGGCGATTGCTGAGTCGGAGACCGCAATGCTTTGGACCCTTGTAGAGATCGACGTCGTCGCGCCTTTCGGGGACAAATATTCGGCACGCTTCCGCTGTCTTCACCCGACGACAGATTGGCAGTTCTATCAGAAACTGCGCTGGCATCAGAAGCTACATTTGCAACCTTCGACGTCCGTTCGTTTCGTCTGGGTGCTCTGCCTCCTGTGTTCGGCACTCCCCGCATAGACCTTGACGACCGAAACGAGCAAACGGACCGCCCGGAGTTCATTCTGACAGGAGCCGGTCTCTTGTTGCCTTCTTGTCCCGTGGATGCCCGCATTTGCCCATTTCGTCGTGTGGCTGCCGGCTGCTTCTTGCTGCTCAAAATGTTGACCAACGAGAGGTTCAGGCGATCCGTGCTGGACATGGATCGATGCGAGCCAGTGCGTTCGAACCGGAACCCTGTACTGGCCGAGCGCCTCAAGGGGAAGTTGATACTGCCGGCCTTGGACGCATTGTCATCGTCGTTGTTGTTGTTGTTTGCCACTCCCAAGTCCCTCCAGTCAAAGTTTTTGGAACCATTGACGACTGAGTTGCGTGTGCTTCTCGAATGGATCGACCCCGACGTGGTGGCCCTTCGGAGAGCCATCCCCATGGCACGCTTGCTGCCGATGGATCTTTTCCCACTGCCAATAGAAAGTTTGCTCGATAAAGACACCCCTGACAGAGAACGTTTGCAGCTTCTTACACTGTTGGGTGTGTTGGGTTGAAAGGCCCCATCCATTAGACCCCCGTTGGACTTGGTGATACTCCTCATGGAGATCCTCAGTCTCCCTGAACAAGACATGCGACTCTTGTCGTCTTCCATTTCGTCCAGAAGGATGCTACTTCCGAGAGAACTCATGTCGTCGTCGTCGTTGGCTTGGTATCGGTGGCTGCCATTCTTCATTTCCCTGCCTTTCTTCTCGTCCCTTTCGTGAGGCAGCATTCCATCCACTAGCGGCAGGTTGAGCAGAAACTCGGTAGTGGCCAAGGCATCGTGAAGCTTGGCATTTCGGAGTCTGGTGTTGGGAGAAAGACAGAGCTCAGATTTCTCATCATTCAAATACTCAAAGTCCTCGTCTTCCTCGGCGGCCTTGGGATTCGTCCCACCCACCCTCATGTTGCGATTCCTGGAAAGCAGCGCATCACGTTCATTCTTCATCCTTAGATGCAAATTATGATGGTTGCTGCTGTTCAGTGGATCGACAGCGGTCATTACAGTGGTTTCGATCATCATGCCCAAGAAATTGTGTTCATCACAGATCGGAGAGGACCCGAACAGAGCGCCGAGGAGAGAAAAGCTTACGATGTACAGTACTCAGTAGAGAAACCAAAACCATATTTTCACGGGGAAACTTTGAGTGTCTTATAGGAGTACTCGAGTAGCTCCTAACTATTGATACCGGTAGGTTCCGTTCTTGTTCTTGATGTCCGTGTGGGGAGATGGAGCACGAGCTTTTAATAAATCAAGAAAAGCGGGATGGCTCGTCAGTGCAAACCCTACTAATGATTCAACAGTAAAAGCACCTTGTTCATCGAAAGAAGCCACCCTAGGAGAACAAAAGCCAGACCAAGCCATTGGGGCAGTACCAGATTTGAGAAACCACCGGAAGTCATTGTACTGAATTCTAATTACTAATTACTACTCGTAGCACCTACTTTTTGGTCTGTTAAAAATAGAAGAATTAGAGATCCAGCCGAACAAATAATAGCCATCCAGTAATATTCAAGTACAGGTCGTACCAGGCAGCGGATAGTTTACTCGGTACTACTCTAAAACTCTCAGTACCCACTGACGTCCGTACTTACGCACCTTTGCTGTACTGACTGGGGCCTACTAAGTACTAAGTAGCTTGGACATCCAAAACAGCTCAAACGCAATACAAACCGGTATACCAGAAAGAGAGTTTACAAACTAGCTAGGTAGATGCGGTAAAATAGTTTTGCTTTACAAGTATTCAGCTTTGCTGGATTCTGTGTTCTTTGGAGTTTGGAGCAGGTACGGTACTGGTACTACGTGTAGTTGAAAGGGCCGGAAATCACGATTTTATGAATCCAACCAAATTGATCAATTCGAAACCTAAATATAAAACCGAAATCTAAATATAAAATCGAAACCAAAATATAAAACCGAAACCGAATTACTATGGTAATTTACTAGTAAAATCAAGCTGAAACCAAAATATAAGATCGAAACCAAAATATAAAACCGAAACCTAAATATAAAATCGAAGCACAAGTATAAATCGGAATTTGGTGTAAATCGCCATTTCGGGCCCTTTCGTACAGCATACATGTAGTAGATTACTGAGTAAAACTTTATTTGCAGACATGTGCCGATAATGGCCATTCTTGTAAAGAATTTGAAAATGATGGATACAGGTGAAAAATCTTCCAACTCTTTGTCAACATCACAGTGAGAATACGAGTTTTGATAATCCTACTTTTCATCAATGAAGATTTGAATTGGTCCGCAGTGTAATAAAATGATTCTGCTGAAAAATCTTCCGCACATACAGGAGCTGCAGGCCAGAGATACCACATACCCCTCAGTTTATGCTCTGAGACAGTTCCGTTTAATGTCCACTGGGCTTCCGCTGGAACCATGTGGGCGTTACCTGTGCGGAACTGTTCGCAAACAGCTGCTCAGACTCTATGGCCCAGCTACGGCCCCCCAAACCCCAAACTCCCTCCCCTCCATTCAAAATTATTTTTACGTGGTGTTCGAAGAGCAGCTTTCTAGCTAGAGCCACCAGATGAACTACTCGTACCGGTACGGTAGCTACCGCTTCCCTACTAGAGCTGATAGAGTGACAGTCTGATTGCTACGGGAGTACTGGTAGTTAGCCTCTAGAGCTCTATCAAGCTACCCAAAACGCTTGCATGTTGCGTGATGTTCATTTTAACCAATACTCGGAGTTGTTGTCAATGATAACGGACCTGACAAATATTTTTTGGGTATGCACAATGTATAGCTCTTTAGAATAGCACTGATAGCTTGCCTCAGGAAGATGGGAATTGGTCCAGACGCGGCAACAAAGCTTGTTGTGTCGTCGCGGGCACAAAATGTTTGCTGGGACTTTCAATCTTCTCGCAACGCCAGCCATTCGTGGTGGGAATGAACTTGCCGGCGATATTCAAAGGAAAACAAAAATCCTGTTCGTTTTGCGTCGCTGTGGCAAAACACAACACTTTCACACACCAACATTTCACTCTGGAGGCGGCATACAGAAGTTTGCGTACTAGTAATTCTCACGCAACCCTCGTTCAGGTGCGGCCCTTTTGAACAGACGCACTGCTTCGTTCGAACTCAGCTTACTACTGTACATATTGGGTACCAGGTAGCGGTACCAACTGCCTCCAACCTACCGCTATCGATCTTGCCTGAACTCACGGGGGGCATACAACATGTAGGTCCGGTGTATCTTCAGCAGAACTACTGAATGATTCAATCTTTATTCAGGATATACAGATCTCGACTGCTTGCTTGTATGTCATCGTTCGTGTATTCAGGATCATCCAACGAGTTGACGCCAAGAAACGCAACCATTCCAGTGAATAGCAAAGGTGTCGGTTCCAAACAGCCACGAAAGAGAGACTGCTAAGATTGCAAACCATTCAAGTGATCGATCGTTCCAAATTCGATGATTAACCATCAGCAGCTAAACTAGAACCACCAAGGAGTCACGGACTCGACTCTTTTTGACAGAGCAAATCTTCGGATTTTCTGTGCTGCCTTTCAGAATGTCTTGGCTTCTGGCTGGATGCTACTCCTGTTGTAAGTGGCACCAGCCAAAACAACGCGACTGTGGGTGTCTGATCGACAAGCCCAAGAGTGGAAAGGAAGTGGTACGTTGGCTGATATATTTTTTGTTCTGTTGCCTTTAGCACACCGGTTCTTGGCTACGGGCTACGGGCTACAGTACTGGAGCAGCGCTGGTAAAACTACATGGCTGTGCAGTCAGCATACGCAGCCAAGGACCAGCCATAACCGGCCAAAGCAAGAAAGACTGTTGATTTATCGACAAGGGCATTACTACAGGGGTCTATCCGACGAGGATGGTTGTTGGACGATTCGGTAAGACCGTGCTGGTTAGCCCTGGTCTGGTGGTATTATCGACGATCTGTGCATACTAGTGGACTCAATGAAGGCATCCTCCTTGCGGAATCAGATCAGGTCAGATTAGGTCAGATTAGATCAGATCAGGTCAAGTCAGGTCAAATCATCCGGCCCACGTGTTTTTACCGACGTCTTGATCGGGTCGGTGTACGGTCATGTCGGCCTCGAGTCTGGGTAACGCTGGGGAGGTGGGATGCAAGGCAGCATGCGGACATAGAATCTTTCACAAAAATGAGCCAGTTTGGATCTCGTGATTTGGATGTGGCATGAAGAATTGTAACACTGTGCAAATAAACAGTAAAATTTGATAGTGTTTGTTACCACTTCTTTGTACCCCTTTCTAGAGATTTATACACGTATACTTATCAGATTCAGTCTCTACGACACCGTCAATTTGTTCTTTGTTTCATTAATACCACCAACATTTTGGCTCTCAATGTGCATACCGGTGAAATCTTGGAATGATAGTTGTCCAGTGCACCCATGTGCCGTGGGAGCTAGTACAAAATGTGCAAAGAGTTGTCCCCCTTTGTGTTGACAACATGCTGGCTTCCCTGCCTGTTCGCATTCACCCACCATCAAAGAGCGAGCTGTTCTGACTACGTTCTCCACGGAAGCAGGTGCAACCTAGTAATAAGTCTTTTAGATGCTTTTTTGTTCTCCTTTCTCCTTTCATCGATCTGCGATTGAAGGATAGAGCCTACTTAGGCGGACTCAATAGATCGGCTTCGTAAGCCTTAAAATACATTGAGAACCGCTTCAATTACTTGTTTAAAGCATGTAAAGAGAACCACATTGATTCCCACTTTGGTTCCGGCACTCCTATTTCCTTCAACTGCAGCATTCCTCAAGGGAAATATACGATTAAATCATCAAACAAAAGAATTTCTCTTTTACTCTCAATCATTTAAACTAGGCTTTTCGTAATTCATCACTTTTCTTTGGTAGTCGGACATTCAATACATAAAGGAGCATGAAGTTGAACTTGTGGAGCTGTTGTGGACACCTAGAAGGGATGGCATCCGATATTTGGTCTATCTTGTATGAAGGTTAAAAGTATTTACTGGATGAACCGGTCCAGAGTCAACTTTCTCTAAACGCTGGCAAAAATTGCTGCATAAATTTTCAGACGGGTCCCTCCCGTTAGAGGCCTGTTCCAAGAATAGTGTTTTAGTGAAGTTTTGGAAGTTTCTAACTGCAATCTGCTGTTGGACACTCATGCAATGCTAAGGAGCACCCAGCTATCTAGTATGGCACAGAAGTACTATCCACTTGCCTCGGAAAAGTCGGAAAAGTCCACTTTGAGAGACGCTGGTAGACCGCATGCACCAGACAATCTGACCAATCCTGCTCAGAGCAAGAGTGTCGTGCTTTGCTGCTTTGACATCTTGTCTTTGGTCTTTGGTCTGTACCAAGAGTAGACTACTACTCAAGAGGTGCGGATTAAAACGACTCCCACTTTGAGCTTCAATCCCAAATCCAAATTTCGATTTCGAGGACACGGTTCTCTCCTCTCACAAAATTCAATTCAGACCCTGATGAACAGCCTCGAACACAGCAGCAGTCTCCCACACTCCTCGATCTCTCACAAAACAACGACAATGTGCGGCTCCACTGCAACGATGAAGAATCTCCTCTCCGCCAACGAACCCACCACCCTCAAGAATGCGCTCCGCAAGAGGATGCACGATGATATCGGTGCCTCCAAGCTCAGCAGCAACAAGAAGGCAGCCTTCACCAGCTCGTACCTGACCTCCTTGACCCAGTCCTTGGACGTCACCATGGCCCAAGAAGTCGTCTCTTCCACTCCGGCACCAACACTCTCGCGCAAAAAGTCTGATGCAGGCTCCGAAGACGTCTTGCTGGAAAAGGATTTCCAACCCGGAAACTGGCATGTGGTAAGTGGAACCAAGCAAAGCGTTCTGACTGGATTGCACTGTATCTTTTTGCAAGATCTAACACTCTTATCTTATCATTGCTATCTACAGATTTACGGCCGCGAAAAGAGCCACAAGGAACACATTGGCAACAAACGCCTCCGTGTCTTGATTGCCAACAACCTCAAGGCATACGTGGAAGCTCCCACTCGCCGAGAGAAGTCTCAGATCATTGACGATGTGGCTTCCCAAATCCGGTGTTACGGAGGCTTTGTCAAGAAGACCCGTGAAGGACGATGGCTCTCCATTGGACCCAGCCAAAGTCGCGAGAAGGTGGGACACTCCTTCCGTGACTGCATGAAGCTCTTCAAGGGCAACAAACCCAGTTGCAAGCAGACGATCTGGGAAGAAGCTCAGAACGCAATCTTTAGCAACCTGCAGCTTCGTGGATCTTGCTCCTTCGATCCTTCCTCTGCCTCCTCCGTCTCCTCCTCTTCCACACCAGTACAAGCACCAGTACAACAACAGCAACAACAAGTACCACCAATGACAACTCTGCCAGAACCAGTGGTGTCAGAGGTTGTTGTTACCCCATACTACTCCCACCATGATCCTCTTCCTCTGGATGACGATTCTTGTGGATTCCCTTCCCTGGTTGTTGGGGCAACCAACCAAATGAACCCATTGGAATGGTTTGACTTTACAAACTAAACAAACAACCAGAATTTCAATTGAAAGCAAGGCAGGGAACCATTGCCTCCTCTCCTCCTCCTCCAATTCCTTTCTGTACTATGTATCATTTCACCTCCCCGCTGAACTAGCGGCAACACATCTCCATTCAACTAAAATACTAATCATTCAATTACCCTAAAACTAACTTGATTATCCACTGCCTTTAGAAGGTCGCCGTTGACTCTAGCTAGAACGCTGTCTTCTCTTGCTTGCTTCATATTGCACTCACCCATTGACAACCCCTTGTGGGCTTGCAGGGGGTTCCCTGGATCTTCCTGTGCTTGCTATCTTGGTGTTGGGGCTTGGGGCGTGCTGGGTTTCCAGTAAGAAGCTGGCTACTGTATTGGTAATTGGTACATGGCCGTACCGGTCCATCCCTACCGGTCCATCCCTGCCAGTTTAGTTGGTTTTCTGTACAAAGAGCTTTCTGTGGGGCCGGAAGTGCTTATTTCCTCCTCATCATGAGACCCACCCATGCGCTGCTTGTTTTCACTGTAAAGTTCACAACCACCGAAGCCAGCCTCTGCCAAGCCAAAAGATCCAATAGTGCTCGTTTTGAGATGCTGATGCGCTGATGCTTCATGCCTTGCCCCAGCTAGTGGACCTCAAGGGTTCTCTCAATCTCCCCTTCTCCTGTCGGCTTTAACACTCCAGTTCAACGCCCAGAACCGGGCATAAACGACATAACGCTATCTATACTGTCCAGCCATACTGCAGGTCCTTGTCATTTCTACAGGAATAGTTACTAGTAGTTAGTTGTGTACAAAATATGTTCGTAGTAGTCTTATTAAGAGTACTAAGTACCTCGACAGTGTCTTAGAGAGCAATTATTAGGGTTTGCTTTCCCTCCGATTTGGTGCTCCGTTTATTGCTTCTTTTTACTTATTAAATTTTCTTGTGGTATTTCTGTATTATTTCTGTTTCTTTTGCCCATGGATTTTGATTGTCAATCTGTCATCAGAGATGATGGTATTACTGAAGAGCCTTTAAATAATTTGGTACCACCGACGCAAACAGCTCACGATACTCGCCGTTTGAGCGCCGTTTGAATCCGCCAAGCAGGATTTTCAGGTGGTTAGCTCAGCTTTAGCTAGCTCTTCTGTACCCTTCACGTTACTCGTACCAATACCAGCCAGCTCTAACTTCCGTAGGTACATGTACTAGCTAGCTAGCTAGTACATGTATTAGAAGAGCTATTAGAAGCAAGGTACCGCACGGTACCGCACGGTACGGCAGCACTTTTACTGTAGCTGAGGTGATCAAAATTAGCAACACACTTGGGACCGACACGAGCAACACATTTACCAACGTTTCCGTACCTGAGACGGACCCACGGGACCTGCAATTTGATAAACCGGTAGACCCTCCCTGGATCAAGCCCAATCTCTCAACGAGCACAACGGCATACAGCTCGCAGCTGCAACTCCTTTCTCTAGAGCTACTAGCTAGTAGCCAGATCTTGTGCAGTGCACACTGCACTCCACTCAAAGCTCGTCGCATTGTTGGATGTTGCATGAAATTTGGATGGCAGCTTGCCAGGTACAGGATGATTCAAGATATCAACAGAGATCAGAATGGCTCAAAGAGCGAGTTCTGGAAATCTGCAACTCTATATTACTCTATGCTGTTACTATTGGCAGGGAGTAACTAAATATCTTTTGTCTTTGGTTAGCCGTTCCAGGTTCCAGGTGCCGAATCGAGGCAGTACCTAATCAGCCATCTACTCGAGTACTCAGAACTCAGTGTAGAATAATCGATATCGCGGTATGGCTTCAAGCTTGAAGGCAAGCCAGAGGTTCGCTGAGGCGAGCGGAATCTACTCAACTCTCTCACCACAGTTGTGGGCCAGCCATGAGCCATGTCCAGCAGAGCCTGCCACATCTCCCAGGCTACGATAGACTACTACTCAGTAAATGCGGCAAAAAGTGACACTGTAGGGTCTCAGACTTGCTTATACTCGCCGGAGCAGTGGTAGTAGAGCTACTAGATTATGATAGTGGTGGCTTTCCTTCTCTTCTCTGTTCGTCCGTCGTAGCAGCTGTCGTAGCATTATCGGTCCATGTACCAGTACAATTTGTGTACAGTCGTATTTAGTTGTTCTCGAGGCATCGTAATAGCCCTCGATACAAGTCTACTACATGTATTATTCTGCAACGTACTCCTCAGTAAGGTGCAGCGGTACAGTGGTTAGCCAGCCACCAGCCACGTCTGGCATGGCCACATGGCCACATCTACGCTTCTCTAGCTAGCAAAAAGTGACCACCCAGGTCCCAGACTTGGTTATTGGTTCTTGAATTTTTCTTCAACCAGATCTGATGGTACATTACATTGGACTGTAGTAGTGGTGTCTTCCTTCTCTTACATAGTGCGTCGTAGCGTAGCTGGATCGGTACTAAATGTATTATTAGTCTCCCAACAATTTGTGGTTCCATTGTAATTCTGTAGCCTTGACTGCTGATGAGAACCTCAAGACTCCCAGAATTACAGACAGGGGTCAATTAGTACGGTGTACGGTGTACTAGTAGCTAGTTGGTATCAATTACAACTTCACTGTTGCTGCAGTTGTGCAGTTGGAGTCTGTTGGACGGTTGGCGGGAAGAAGAGAGAGAGAGAGATTCTTGATTTTTGTTTGTAGGATGTTTACATTGTACTGTTGGAGGAGACTGTGGTTGACCACCCAAACCAATGATAACAACCCTTGATCTCTTACAGGCAACGTTTGCTGGAACTGATGAGGCCAATTGTGTGAGGTGGTGGTTGTGGCGGCGTGGCGGCAAGTGCGGACATTCAAGCTCTTCCCCTCGCTACTACATCCGGTATGGTACTTATCGCCACGGTTTATGGTTGCGGTCCTTCGCCGAGACGAAGGTTGGCGGGGGCAAACAAGTAAACAAGTCTCGTACTGGTATCTTTCCGACGTACCGGTACAATGTACCGGTACCAGTATCCACGAATAACTTGAGTCGAGTCAAGCTCGAGAATGATTCGATTGATTCGACTCGATACCAATACTGACGTCATGTTGTGACCCATTCGTTGTGAGAACCAGCCTTGGGAGTGACAAGAAAATGAAGCAACCTGGTATGGTAGCCTGGATCCAAATCCCCACGTGGCAATGGCACAACATTCAGGTACGGTACTAGTACAGGTATGAGAAGGCACCGTATCGGCCTCAAATAGTATTCATCAAAGTAGTGCCTAGCTAGCTATCAGTAGTAGCCAGCAAGCTGTGGTCGATGCCGTAGTAGTTCCGAAATGATCAAGCTTGCATACATCTTCCTACTAGTGTTGACTGTGTCCGGCCCTTCTTGCCGCGCACTGAGTTCCTCCTCTGTTGTTGATAGCAGCAAAAGTTTGGATGCGGATGCTCCTGCAGGTCGTGCCACCATTGCCGTTTGCACTGGCCCCGATTGCCGTGTGGATGGTTCCTCTGGCTGTTTAAAGGCGTTTCAAGGTGGCATCGGAACAGATAAATCAAGAATCCGGGTGACTGGTCGTGCATGCGTCGGTCCTTGTGGAGATGGACCTTGTGTCATGGTCCTGAATGACAAGAAGGAAAAGGTTGTTGTGAATCAACCATCCAAAATTCCCATCAGCTTGGCATCTCCTGACCTATTTGGCTCCAACCCCGGTGGCTGGTATCAAGTGAGAACAGCCCAACAAGTGCAAGAAGTACTCGAGATTGCCAGGAAAACGGCGGGAGTCGTATCCGAAACGGAGCCACAAGACTCTACAGTATTGCCACAAACAACCACTATTACATCGACACGACCATGGTACGATCGACCTCGCAACGAACGCAAATTTCTTCAACGCTTGATGCAATTCACGGTCGTGGCGGGTTTGGCACAATACGACAAGACGCAAGAGTTGGGCGATTTGCAATATGGGGTTGCTGGAGTGCTTTTGCTACTCTCGACTGGAATCACCAAAGAAAATGTGTGGAATGCTCTCGTTTTTAAACGTCGATGAAGCTCCAAATGAGGACAATTTTTTTAAATCGACAATGAAATAGCTACGAGGATCCAAGGTCCAAGAGGATGTTTTTGATTGCTGCAGAAAATTCAATATGGCCGCAATTCGAGGCTCCACAAGACGGCGTGGGCCGAAAACAAAATCATGAGGAAAGCACCTTACCGGCACCGTACCCTGAAAGGAACCATTTGCCTTCACGTTTTGGTTGCAGCCGGCTAGCAAGGGAATGTCATCGAATCTTATGTTTTTCCTACTACAGTAGTATCGATACATCGCCAAGTATCTACCCTGCTCGACAACAGTCTCCCTGTTCCGTCCTACCGTATGCACAATGAAATGCCGTATTTTTGGGTGTGTGCAAGGTAGTACTGATTGTGCCACCATGTGGGCTCACGCCCTCATCAGCACGGAAACCTCATTCTTCTTTTGGGCAAGATGTGTGTACTTGTGTAGATTCGACGATTTTCCACTCCGTGCGTAAGCAATGACATGCAAATAATAAATGCGTTCCAATAGAAACTAGAAAACGAGTCTCTATTCGTTCAGTTTTTGGCTTTTCATCCATTACTCCAAAGTAGGACCCATCTAGCTAGTTTTTGGCACATGTATTGTATTTGTTGCTTCTTGTTACAACTACACCATCAATCGACAGTTGGGATTGGGTTGTTGCGACATTTCCGTCTTGCCATTTCGGTATCGATTGACGGTATTGAATTGCAGCACTTCTTGGAAATGACATTCTGGACTGTACCCCAACCAATCGAGTGCTTGATTGAGGACGGTGACATTGTTGGTCCACTGCTGTGCATCCAAGAGATGGGCATGATGGTCCCCAAACCGTTGCTGGATGCGTCGGAGTCGTTGATTTCGCAGTTCCAATTCCTCTGGATTCATGGATCGAGCAATGCCCGAGGATTCTTGTGACATGGCTTGGCGTGTGACATTGGAGTTGATGTTGACCAGGATGCGAGAGCAGGGCAGGTTGTCCCTGACAAAGTCCATCATTTGTCGTGTGGTCTTGTCTAGTATCACCACGGAAGTGTTACTATCGTCTTTGTTGTTGTTGTTGTCTTTATGATTCAAATCGAATTTGATCGTCTTGAAGCCAATGATTGTTTCTTGTTCTTCTTGTGGGGTTTGCTGCAATGTTTGTTGATTGGATGGATCCAGTAGTGGTGGATTGAAGGATTGTACAATTTGTTGTACAGCACAGGCAAAGGTTTGTTTGGGAATGGGATTGTGACCAAATGCATTCTTGTTCTTGGAAGCGACTTGGAATTGTCGATTTTGCCATAGGGATTGATGCAGTGTCATCATGTTGTAGAGTACATTTTTGTTTTCTCCACTCATTCGAAGTTGTGGCAATGTATCGAGCATCCACGTCAATGTGGTCGACGCCGATCTTGCCGATGCAATAATGATGAGAAAGCGACGTTGGCAGGGATGACACAGATCTGTATTGTGACAGGAAATACTATTAATACTGCGGTTGGACGAATGGGGACACCAGGAGGAAATCGAAGAAGTCGAATTAGAAATAGTGCTTGGTGGAGATGAGCTTGCTGAAGTAGTCGAATTTGAATGGAGGGACTTGATGACAGTCCCCACAGGCACTGGCAAAGAAGTATTTGTACCGGTATTGGAGGAAGTAAGAAAGGTCAAGAGACCCATAAAGGAGAGTCCAGCAATGAAAGCCTGCAACAGTGCCAAGGATGAGTGCCCGACTCTGGACCTTGCTTGATTTAGTTGCTGCTGCTGTGGTTGGACTAGTGAATTACCAATACTGGTATCACTTGGAGATGTCTTGATCGGTGTCATCATCATGGTCAAGTCTCGGTGTTTCTTTGGTGTTTCCTTGGATTTTGAATCATTTTGTGAGCGTTTTTCGGTCAACGGTGCCTGGAGTTGTCCGAAAAATCTATTCGACTTGGCATGGGCTCTCGATTGAAAATCGAATTCAATCGAATGATATATATTATCGACCCGAAGTCACGAACGCTCTCTCTGGTCTCTGGCGCTTCAAAGACACGACGATGAAGGCTGTCGTCCATACCGTACCGGTACCGATAGCTTGAGTAGATGGACGACAACGCACCGGTAGATGGCATCTTGTTTGTCTTTGCTGTTTGTTGTGGTGCTGGCAGTGCTGGTGTTTCGGTATTGGATCATCCTCCACAACAACACGGCTTTCTTGTCCAGCAGCGTCGACACGGTACTACCGGTACCGGAAACGCTCCAAGTAAAACCAGAAAATCAGGACGGATCAGTGAATGTTATTGTGGATCATGTGATTTCCAAATGGCAGCTTCCTGAAACGGTCACAACCAGCGAGATCCTTGGTCGAATTTGGAATAAGGACATTCCATACAACAAGGACACTGACTTGTTGGTCTTTTATCACCCTCTCAAGTCAGGAGGAACGTCAGTATCCAAGGTCCTGAATCAAGTGGGACCTGTCGTACCAGGGTCCCATCCATCAGGACATTTCAATTTTGACAAATTTCAGCAACAAAGACAACCCCAAAATAACTACAAGGTGCTCTATTCACACGACAATTACAGACCCCACTCACATGAACACTACCTCCACACTAACACCACAACTACAAGGAGAAGACCCAAATTGTACAAGTTACTACATGTACTACAAGACCATCAACAAACCAAGAAGAGAATTCGACACCTCACCATGGCCCGAGAGCCACTCGCATTCCTGGCTTCCAACATGAAAGAATGGGTCTGCAAACTCGCAAAATGGCAAAAAAGGCCAAGGCACTCAATATTCCAAAAGCAGAAAATGACACCCATGCATGCTATGGATACACTCTCAAACAGCTGACACAAATCAGAATCCAGTCCAATACGAAAGAATGCCAAAACTTGACAGATGCACAACTCAAAGCAAAATCCACCTATCGACGCAAAATTTGCCTAAACTTGATACACAAACAAAAGCATGATGATACACCATATTGTGCGTCCACAAAGGCATTTCTGCAAGAATATCAGTATCGATCCAGTGTTCTCTCGCACTTGGATTATGCTCCCTACAATGACAACAATGTCAGAAACAAAAAAGCGGTACCAGTGGAACAACAGAATCATCTACTCTACGGCGTCATGGAGTACTTGGGAGGCATTGACACTCATTCGAATGGTGACATGCTATGGTTTGGAATCACCGAACGCATGACGGAAAGTTTGTGTTTGCTCCATTTTCACTTGAACATACTACCCATGATGTCAAGGACAAGTATCCCCCAAGAACGAGTACAATCCTGTCGTCCCACCACCTTTTGGAACAATTCGGACTCACAAACAGAATTCTATAACAAAGAGGCTATCATGGTCCAGCTCCATCGGGTGGCCAATGCCGTACTCGACGTACAATTGCACAAAATGAGGCACAAACTGCAGCAAACTCGCGTCCATCTCTTGCCGCCGGAATGCCTCCACAGCGATGACATGGTGTGAACAAAATGGCTCCTTGTTTCGAGGGGATCTGGCCCGCTGTGGCAGCATTCAGTCATCCGCTGGTTCTATCGTAGTGTCAAAAACGGGGGGCAAGGCTTCTCTGGGAATAAGGACGGGCAGGAGGGGGAAGGAATGCTACCGGTATCACAACTTCCAAACACCTTCCAAACAACCTAGCTAGTCTTCGTTTGCACTCTTCACAATAGCAACTCAGACAGAACGTGACCCCGCATGCCATCCCCACGGCAGGTTCTGCTGGAAGTCTTTGATCAGTAGCTAGAACTCTTCATTCCTCGACGGAAGTAGTACCATGACCTCAAAATCAAAAGCACCAGGTCCAGTACCGTACCGTGCCTCAAGTACACGTACATGAAAAGTGGTTTCGTAGATTAGGGTTAGAGCTATGCAAACTAAAAAGACGACGATCGTCGACACAGGACGATCCGGCAATGGTGATTTTGTGACGATCCTTTCACGATTGAACAGTCACCAATAGGAGATCGTTTAGGCGACCGTTTAGGCGACGGTTAAAAATAGGAGATCGTTTAAGCGACCGTTGCCGGTATTAGGAGACTATTTAGGCTACTGCCCGGATTTAGGATACTGCTACTAGGATTTAACGGGTTGTTTATCGAAGAATTAGGCGATCGTTTAGGCGATCGCCTAAAAATAGGCGACCGTTTTGGATACTCGCACCGGTTTTAGGAGACTATTTAGGAGATCGTCTACTTTAAATCCTGCTTGTGAATTCAGTCGTGATTCATAATTAGCTTGGGCACCTAATTGCCGGATCGTCCAGCCAAACAATGGTCCGACACAAAGTACGAAGCACAAGCAAGCAAGGACGATGAACAACAGAGGCAACATTGATGTTCGCCGCGATTCAGAAGACAGACCCTTCGTATACTTGGAGGATCTGGAGGGTCTGCCACCCACGCTGCTTGTGGCCATCTCTGGAGCACCCTTGAGTGTTGTAAAACAGGTCTACGCGGCAGATCCTCGACCAGTCGACTATGACACTTTTCTGGAGGCGTGCCGCTATGGCAAAACAAAACAGACCTTGATGTTGTGGCGTTTTTGGGAGAAAAGCTCAAGCAGACACAGGAAAGTCATCAAACCTTTGAAGAATTTTTGTCGTATGCAGTTTGCTGCATCATAGAAGATGATCCTGCGCCAGATTCTTTTGAACGCGCCAAAAAAATTCTGACTCGCTTTCCAGAAGCTGTGATCAATTCATACGACTTTGACGATTGTCCCTTGGCCTTCTGCCTGAGTTTTGACGGATTTGATGATGTGCTGCTTGATTTCATGATTGACTTGGTCAAAAGCTTGCCAGGGACCATTGATCAATTCCAGTTCCGGGATCAATTGGAGATGAGGGATTTTAGTGAGGATATGAATCTGGACAGTAGGCCTTCTATGGGCGATGAGGTTGCTATGCAAGCAATTGGAGCGATTGTGACCAAAGCCAGGAGATTTGATGATTATTGGGGGCATTGGACAGCAGAAGAACTGGCACCATTCGTCGCTTTGTTCTTTCGCCAAACATCGGTTGTTGAAGGGCTCACCCTTGACTTGGATAATTTCCTTGACTCGCCACTACCCCAAATCATGACATCCATCAACAATGAACCCGACAAAGCTTCATCATGTTGTATCAAAGACCTAACAATCTTCATGAAAGGGTGTTGTTTTGATCTGGCGCCTTTGGTATCACGCATGGATCAGCTGAATAAGCCTGACACTGTCATTGGGGCGAAGCCCAAGTCAAGAAGAGGTCCAGTCGATTTGCCAGATTGTGCAATGTAGAGAGCTCATAGCACTTAAGGTGGCCTACCGGTGTCACTTGCCAGCGGACCGGAACTTGTTCCTCCCCCTCCTTGTTGAGGTTTCAAAGAGCAAATGTCTAAAGGAACTACGCCTGCGCCCAGATGTTTGCATGCCTAATCCTATGCCACAAGGAGGATGCCCATGCCAGATCCGAATGCTGGAACTTTTGACCAAGAACACTACCCTTGAGTTAGCTCACTTTGGACCTTCCCAAAATGCTATGTTCAAAAAGAAATCGATTCAAATTACGTACTGGACAAGATTGAACAAACATGGTCGTGGAGTGGCTAGAGACCCTGGTACCACCCAAAAGGAGATGGTTCAGTTGATGACTACTGCATTGAACAATGAAGAACTTGTTCATGAGGGCCCCATAGCAATGGCCAATGTTACATACGGGCTTTTACGGGAAGTGCCTGGAAACTGGGCCAACTCAGCCTTAGCTCAGCTCCGAGGCAGTCGTAAGCGAAAATTCCCCCCAGATGTTTGAGATCGCGCAAGTCCTCATGTCTTGCGTATACAGTGATCGAGGTTCCTGGTGATAGGAAGACTTCCGGGAGTCAGAGTTGTGATTGCTTGTACTACCGGCAGCTAGTATTGTATGTTCGTCCCGGCACCAGTATATTAGTTGACGTTGTGCCATATACACAATTTCAATGCAAGTATCAAACCTGTGCGGATTGGTCCGCGGTTGGTCTAGCTAGCGAGCAGAAGAAAGCATTTTCAAAATCTATCTGGTTAACTGTTTCAAGGGAGAGAAGATGACGGCCGCTCAGCTCTGATATTCAAGTTCAGATGATAGCCCGTACGGTAACGGTGGTGACTGGTCCCGGTACCGCCGGTACCAGCGTCCAACACAGTTGCTCGTCGTTGTTTCATCCAGAAAAGCGATTATTGTCGTAATGATGATTGACTCGATTCGATTCAAGTCCCAGCTCAAGTTATACAGTAATAATCATCTTTCCAGTGTTGCTTCCTTTGAAGAGCCCTATCAATCCCTCGACGACCTTATCAAATCCCTTGAGAACAGTCTCTTGTGCCACAATATCCTTTGCCGCCAACATTTCTCCGAGTTCTTGACTCGCTTGTGGCAATTCATCGCCCCATTGTCCCAAGAGAAACCCTTGCATTTGGAGGCGTTTGGTAGTAACGCAAAACAGATTTTGAACACCGTACAAGTCTTCGTCCTTGGTTTCATAGCCAGAGATTGACCCACAACAAATGATCTTGCCTCCCATACTCATTCGTACCAGTACCTCATCCAGCATCTCGCCACCGACATTGTCAAAGTAAAGATCGATGGTTTGATCTTTCAAAACGCCATCTAATCCTGCTGCTATCCCATCTTTGTAATTGAACGCATCGTCACATCCGAGACTGGACTTGCACAAGGCGATTTTGTCGCCTGTTCCAGCGGATCCATAGACCGTGCAACCAATCGATTTGCACAGCTGAGCAAAGACAGATCCGACAGCTCCTGCCGAGCCCGACACAAACACCACTGGTTTCTCTTTGGCTTTCAAAAAGTCCTTGGCGTAGTGTTTGAAGGGGAGGTAGGCCGACAAGCCCGTCAATCCCAAAATACCGAGAAAGTACGAGCTGGGAATTCCATCCAGTTGCGGTAGTGGCTGGAAAGATGGTTCTTTGACTACTTGGGTGGTTTCCCATGGCATCATTCCAGTGATCAGACTTCCAACTTTGTATTTGTCGTTTTTGGACGCCACAACTTGTGCCACACAGGCACTCTCAATCGGTTTCCCAAGCTCAAAGCCTGGCATAATGTACCCCATCCCTGGCTTGAAACGGGTTCGCATGTAGGGATCTACCGAAACATGCTTGAGTTCCACCACAATGGCATCTTGGGGCAGATCTTCCTCGTTCGTCAGTTCTTTGCTGTCAAACTCAAAGTTGTCCGGCGACAGAGGACCATCGGGGTACGACTTTAACAAGCAACGTTCGGTCTTCATTACTGGTATTTCGCCAAACCCAACCACTGGAACTGATAATAAGGCTTGCAAAACAAGGAGAGAAACGAGCAAGGACAGCGTTGTTGTGGACGTCATTCTACTGGTATTGTAACAACGGCTTCACGATGAATGGTCAAGTGGAAGGGGGAAAGTAACATACGTGTTGTCGTGTCAGATCCATCTTTTTGTTCGTCATTCGCTCTGCATTGGGTGGCATGCATCCATGCATCTGTGGATCCACATATCCACATCGCGGTACCAGTAAGCAAGAATATTAAATCCTTTTGAGACAAAAAAGCATTAACAACATGAGCACGTTCAGTACATGTCCACCGGTACCGGCACCATACAGTACCTACCAGTACCGTGCCTGGAAGGGAAGGATATCTTTTGCTGACATCTGCTCATTTTTTCGGTACGAAGCTCCTATCTACCTAGCTAGCTAGCTGTGGAAGTTCATGGCAGTCAAGCAGCACAACAATGATATATTGCAGATAGAACACATAGACTGAATAGCTAGAACAACTAAAACCGCAGAATGCAGATTGTCAACACAGCCAAACAGTTACATTTGCAACAGTATAGTTGTGGCGTTTCGTGGCTGGCTTCAACAGAGATTTATTCACAACTCCCTTTTTCACACCCCGCAGCCTCGTATCCCCGATCGAGTCGCGTAGGTGGCTGACCGACTTCTTGCTTCAGTTCTCAGAAATCGAGTCGATTCTCTTCTCCAGATCATCATCCCAATGATGAAAGGCAAAAGTTAGAGCCGCACGACAAGAAACGCCCTTGTAGTTGAGCCATAGATCAAACTCTTCCAGATTTGTCAAAAGATAGTGACCCACATAGAAGCTCAAAACACTTCTAGCCGACCTGTACGGATCAAACGCACTCTCAGAAGGATCACTCCAAAAGATGGGTATAGCAGCCTTGCCTTTGTCACCAGGACTCTGTACTGCCGGCTTCAGACACTCTGCGAAATGCTGAAAGGAAGAGCTTTTCGCACGGACGTAGTACTTGAAAGTTTGTTGCTGGTCATAGGGTAGATCTACCCACCCATCCCATCCAAAGAAGCAATGCGGTAGCAAGACACCACTGGACCCGCTGATAAGACCTTGCAGGCCCAAGTACACAATGTTCTTTTCTAGTGTTTCTATTTTCAATCCTTTGGAATGCTGGAGCCTGCTGGTGGCCAAAGTTCCATCAAATAAGCAGCGTCGGTTGCTGAGTACCAACTTTTGGGGGCAATTGCGCCGCCTGGGTGTTGGTGCTGACCTGGGTGTGGGTGACACTGACATCTCCGGCCTTGCGGAAGACAGACCTTGCAAATTTGAAGCAGCATCTGGTTTCTTCCTACCTCGCGGTGACGGTGATGGGGAGGAGGAGCTGAACCTCGATTTACCACCGCTGGGTGGGCTCGGTCTTCTACTCGTGGGAGAGCTTGGCCTTCTACTCGTGGGAGAGCTTGGTCTTCTACTCGTAGGAGAGCTTCGTCTTCGACCACTGCCGGTATCTCCAGTCATACCGGTAGTAGTGGTGGCAGTCTGTTTTTGGGTCGGAGACTGTGCCTTCAGCTTCTTGTTGCTGGGGTTGGTATTCGCCAGGGATGTCGTGAGTTTCGTCGGAGGTGGCGACATCACAGTTGACCGTGGCAAGCCAAAGTTTTCCATGCTGGTGGTGGCAACTGTCTTCTTCTTGTTGATAGAGACAGTATCATTGGTGAACCTCTGCCTCCCTGGGCTTGGTCGCCGCGTTATCACACTGGATGGTGGCGGCGACATGCCTACTGGTTCCTCTAGAGTATGCATAGGGGCTTCTTGCGAGATCCTTTGCCTAATGGGACTCGGTCTTCGTGTAAGAACAGCTGGTGGGGGTTGTGCCATTTTTTCCTCGGTGAAAGTTTGTAAGTTGTTTCTTGTGTCATTGTCGTCAATTCTCATCGTTGCAATGACAGCCGAAGTGGTACTGGTACGTATTGCTCTGTCGTCATGACGAATGATGGTCGCATCCGAGAAACTGTCATTCTGAACGAGCCTTGTGTCACGTTTTTGACTTGCGGGGCTATCCAACTTGTAGCCTTGAATGTTCATTACATGTTTCTTCCTGCTCGCAGGCGATGCAAGTGGAGAAGTAATAGGAACTGGAGAAGCAGCAGTAGGATCAGGAGGAACGATCGATCTCTGCCTTCTTGTAGGAGTTGGTCTGGTTGCGAGTGTTGATGTATGTGACTGGGTCTCGGATACCAATGTTGTCGTTGTTGTGTTGCCGACTGTAAACTCAATGGGAATTCGCTTGGTCGTACTTGTGGTTCCATACCGAGACTCTCTTTGTCTTGGGGCATGCACGTCCATGGAATCCGTGTCACGGGTCGGCGAAAATGAGTAGCGATCGTATCGAAGCCTTGTCGTGGTGGTGGTGGGGGTCCCCAGTCTTGACGAAGGCGACGACAACCTCTGAATGCTGCGAGTACCAGTCTGCCTAGGGCTACCAGTCTGCCTGGGGCTTCCAATCTTTTCTGGGGAGCTTCTTGGCGTAGAGGATACATGTTGTATTGAACTGATCCGAGTTTTTGATTTTTCCGTGGTTGCCAAGATGCCATCTTTCTTGTTATCACTGTTATGCTTATCATGGTTATGCTTATAACGAGGCTTGAGAAGAGTGGCCTCTTCTGACTGCCCTTGCATGGTGTAGATTGTTTCAGGTTTGTCGGGTAGATCTTCGGCGCTGTCAGCGATGATAACAACTGGAGGATCCACAGTACGATTCTCATCATCATCTCTCTTATCTACCAGTGCTAGTGATGGCTTGACCAGTACTCGTACGTCGTCCTTGCTCTCCCCCATTTTGTTTTTCTGGTGCGACTTGGTGGAACTGACTGCATCTTTGCGTTTGTAGGGAGTATCCTGACGCGCTGCTGGCGATAATGGCTGTCTCCGTGTTGCTTTGCTAGCGCTTCCATTGATACCGCTGTTTGCGTTTGAAAACAAAATCGACGTGCATGATTGGACAGAGTCAGTGTGCATTTCGAGCATTCCTCTTGCAAAGTCGAGCACATCAGCCAAGAGTTCTCCCTTTGTGTGTTCCACTGAAGAAGAGGCTAGGATGTATGCCAGCCGTGGCTGATTCTTGTGTTTTCGCATGAGCTGAAGCAGCTCCATAAGCTCACTCTCCGTATTGCTATAGGATGCCATGGTGAATGGTGACAGACAGGTATAGCATGTATCCAACAAAGGTGTGGCTCTCGAAGCAGGGAAGCAAGATAAGAGAAAAAAATGATCGTTTGTCGTTGCAAGTTGCGGTGCAAAGTTCTTACGGCCTCTGGTACTGTAGTGGTACGGGATTAAAGGTAAAGTAAATATCCTCAACTCCCTGCCGGTTTTCCTCATGGCAGTCGCAACCTTCATGACCACCACCAAGGCACCAAGGTTGACTACGGTACGACAGCGTACTACATCGTAGTAGCGAGTATGCATAAGGTCGAGCCGCCGAAAAGTACAGTCGTACCTGGTACCTGCCGAGGAACAAGTGAGGGTCCCTCTGCTACCGGTACGTTGAGAACGATACCTAGGTACCTGTACATTAGACATAGTTAGGGTCATGGTTAATAGTAACGAATACGAACGACGCAAGACGCCCCAAAAAAGACCTTGGTGAAGACGAAAGAGGCGAAAAGAGGCACAAGATGCCGCTGTGGCTTGTGGCTTGGCCGTGTGACAGACGGAAGAAACCAAGCAAAAACAACCACACCACACCACAAAAGCGTTCAATCACCTTTTTCCACAGTACTAGTACATTTGGCAACTGTCGAGACGCCGAGAGCTCCATAGCTAGTCTAGTTGTCAGTTTCATCGTCAGGCCCAACCTATCTTTTAGTGTCAAGCGGAGAGTGTGCCCTCCTCTCCTCCATTCCTGGAGCTCTAGTTAGCTACTAGACTGGTCACTCTATTATTGGAACGTACCGTAAAAGTGTGAGCATCATCTGGAAAGACAAGACACAAAGACGGTCATCCCATTCAAGTCCACCTCAATCGTACAGTAGCGCTTTGTCGTTAATCAATTGGTGAAGTGATTTTAAGTGAAGTGAATCAGGTATCAATCAGAAGAAGCAATGGGTGAAGAGCAACAGCAAGAACCAGACTCTACAACATCTCCTCCTCGAGTGTCAATAGTGGAAGAGGCTCCTCCGACTCGTCCCCGTGCCAACACTAGTTCGAGTGCGGTACACAGTGTAGGTACTGGTAACAATCATCTTCCCATTCATCGACTCTCCATTCCCACACTGCAACCCTTTGGAATGATGGTAGGAGGAATTACTACTCCAGGAGAAGCCATGGCCATGATGCAGATTCCACCGCATACAGCAGCTCGTGTCTTGAAGGGTGAAATTCACAATGTACTCACTGTCATGAGAGCTGATCCTCGCTACGTGTCACCTCATCGCTTCGAAGACGAACTAGTCGAGCAATACGAACATCCGTTGCTGGCAAAGTTTCGAGATTTGCACGCGACACTCTGTGCGTGGGAATCGGCTCCTCAGACGGAACTGCCCGATGCCATGCTCTACTTGCCACCCTTTTGTGAAGCCATTCAAGGACGCGACATTAATGCATCCGTCACCGGAGCCGCTCTCTCGGCATTGCACAAATTCCTACTATACGGATTCTTGACACAGACCACTTCGTCACGAACTGCCGCTCAGGGTATGACGTGGATGTCCAATGCACTCTTACAATGCACTTTTGAAGAATCATTGCAGGGAGTCAATGCCACTGGTGGAGGTGTCGGAGGAGTCGTCAAGTACTTTGAACCGGGAGGAGGTCTGTCAGGGACGGCCACGGGAACAGCGCTAGAAACTGCCAGTTCAAGAGGCATTGCCATGCGAAGAACGCTCAGTCATGATTCCACACGAGCCAGTACGGTGGCAATCCCTTCTCATCTTCACCATCATCATCATCATTCGAATCCACATCACTCCAGAGATGGAACCAACACCTCACGGACAGTCGTCGGAACCATGCTCTTGCACGATGACGAACAAGTCGTACTCAAACTATTGGAACTATCGGCATTGGTCGTAAGGTGTTCCCTGCATCCCTCAGAACCACTGTTGTCCACCGATTTGATCATTGGATTGCTAGATACATGTTTGCATGTCTCGCATCGAGCAAAACGAGCGTCGCCACTGCTCAAGAGTGCTGCGGCCGATTCTTTAGGGCAAATTGTATTGCAGGTATTCTCCACCATTACGTCGCCATCACGATCCTTTGTCGCACGATCCAATACCATGGATACCATGGAGTCCCACGATTCACTCCACAACACTACCAGCCAAGACGAGATTGACAATTCCCCACTCTTGGAAGCACGCAGGGAAATTCTACTCAAATTGACGAATCTACTCAATCCGCAACAAAACAATGATGCTACCTGTGCCACTTCCCTCACTCTCATGAACATGGCATTTGAAACGTTGCGAGAAGGATTCACTCCACCGGAAATTGCTATTCTACAAAATGACTTTTGCAAATACTTGCTGCAGTGGAGTACCACCCACGATCTCATGATTCTCAATTTGACACTACGAGTCATTTTCAATCTATTCCAATCCATGCGAAATCATCTCAAGGTACCGTTGGAAGTATTCTTGACCAGTGTGCACTTGCGCATTCTGGATCCGGCATCGAGTGCCACATCGGAAGAGCGAGAGGTCGCGCTCGAATCATTGCTCGAGTTCTGTCAAGAAGTAGCGCTCATGCAGGATATATATCTCAACTACGATTGCGACATTTCATGTACCAACCTCTACGAGTCCATATGTACCACGCTGGGGCGGGTAGCGTGCGCCGACGGGACCAACAACCGGATCATGCTCACACCCACAACTCCGTCGTTGATCCCGTCCGGGGGAACGCTGCCAACCACGGCCGAGTCGTTCACTACTGCATCCTTTGCGTCCCTAAACTTTGATAATCTGCACGGCAACAACAACAATAGCGGTGGCAACACCAACAGCAACTTTCTCAATTCGCATCAACAGCCGTCATTGGCATCCTTCCGGAATCAAACATCTGTGCGACAGTTGAAAACAGGAACCGGTGCCAACACATCCGATGACAGCAGTACTCTGATTAGTGATCTCTCCAGCCACGGAGGGACCAGTTCGTCCGTCTTGCATTCCCCGCGGCGAGACAAGTCCACTCTGACAGGAATGGTGGGAGCTGGGCAACCCCAAGCACCGCAAATACCCCTCAATATTCTCAACAAAGTGGCACTCGATGGGATCCTGGCCATTCTGGATTCCATTTTTCGACGGTGCCAGTCTCATCTGCGGTACGAAGATTTGATTCACAACCACGGCAACCAAAATGCCCACAGCAACGGAAATGACGGGGGTAGTTTGGATGGCAGTGTCGCTGCCAGTCAAGCGAGTGAAATTGGTAACCTACGATGGCAGATGGCTCCCAAAGACATGTCGGAAGAAGTGCTGCAAGAACGCAAAATCAAAAAACATTTCCTGGCGTTGATTGCCGCGGCGTTCAATGAAGACGCATTCAACAACAAGTGGCTGCAAATTGCCATTGACAATCAAATCCTTCCGACCGAACCATTGCCCAAAAACCCCAGCCCCGACGATGCGCGAGTCCTTCACCCGCTGGGAGTGGCACCCGACAATGTCGCCGATCTCTTGTATTCCACGCACGGGCTTGACAAGGCGAATATCGGAGAGTACATCAGCAAAGGACCCAAAGAAAAGTACCCCTTCCATGCACACGTGCTGGGAGAATTCGTGCATCGATACGACTTTTCGGAATTGACATTTGCGGGTGCTGTCCGCAAGTTCTTGACCAAATTCCGACTGCCTGGAGAGGCGCAGTGCATCGATCGACTCATGGAAGCCTTTTCCAAAGAACTGTATCAACAACAAAAGGGCAAACAAATAGTGACAACCACCTCCAACGTCGATGATAACAAAATCAAAGAAGGTCAGGAATTGGACAACAGTAGGGCCAGTGAAGATGACGGGGATGGCAAAAAGAGCTCAGAGTTTGTGTTTAAGAACTCAGATGCCGTGTTCGTTTTGAGTTTCTCTACCATTATGCTTAACACCGACTTGCACAATCCCAGTATGAGACGGAATCGACGCATGACACTGCAACAATTCATCAAGAACAATCGAGGGATCAATGGCGGAGAGGACCTGCCAGAAGACTTCTTAGCCGAACTCTACGAACAGATCAAGACCAAAGAAATTCAGGTTCAGGCTGAAGTGGGCGAATTCTTTTCCATGACTCAAACAATGATGCATTCTACCACCACCAGCACGTCCAAGAACTTTCAGGAAACTTTCAGATCTACGTGGGACAGTGTCTTGACGAATCGGTCGCAAAACGTCGCAACTGCTTTTTTCACTCCACCTTATGCAGCACGACAATCGATTGAACGAGCCGGGATTCACGACAAGGAAATGTTTGTCACCATTGCCAACTGCGGGGCCATTCAGAGTTTGGCGGGAGTCTTTTGCCGATCATGGGATGATGACTTGGTAGTCCGAGCACTGCGGGGACTCAAGCAGATGGCGAAAATGTGCGAATTCTTTGAAACAGACGAGATCTTGAACGACATTCTGCAGATCCTTCTACGATTAGGACGAGACTACATTATGGGATGTACAGCCCTGGAACACTCTGGGTATGACAACGGGGCCCCGATATTGCCCAACGGTCGGATGCCAATGGCAGTACTGGGAGAGGACAATGACGAATCAGTCATTATTGACACAGAATCACCGGTCCCGACCAGTCTGCTTTGCTCACCTAAGGGCGTCGATCCCTTGCACGCCAGTTTTGCGGTTCATGCCCAAAGAAACAACAATGTGGGCACTGCTAGTTCTGGGGAAGAGGATGACGAAGCGGAGGCGGAAGCCGAAACCGAGGAAAATGATGGCGATGACGACGAAACAGAAGAGGGGGTAGACGTTGTTGATGTCACTGGGAGTGCAGCTCATAGGGGACTGTTGGCTCTGGACACCGCCTTTGTCATGCTAAGATCATTTGCGCCTCGGGTGAGGGAAGCCTGGCCTGCCTTTATCGATTGCATATGTGCGCTACGTGATGCGAAGGGCTTGCCCGCTGGTCTGTCAGACTTGGATGACTTTGCAGACAGTAACGGCAACGTCTTGCCGCTCTCCAGTTTTGCGCAGAATTCACAGAAGCGACTCGACGATCACTATCGCGCACTGCTCGGAAAAGACGATGCCAATAAGAAAAAGAGCTGGCTTCGAAGTTTGTGGGGACAGCCCAAGAAAGAAAAGGGGAGTGGGCTCAACGAGGAATCTGAGCGATCGCAGCGTTCGGGTACCAATTCTGGCAACATCAAGGAAGAACTGTCGACATTTTCCATGCGGCTGTTGGATGTGGCTGAAAACTGCGACGTGGAGAAAGTGGTCGTTCAGATGGGTTCTTCGACTGGAAACGAAGAAGAGCCTTCCCCTCAATTGCACCACGAGCAACAATTCATTGCCATCCAAGCGCTGCTGATATCAGTGGACGAGTATCCATTCGATGACGACCCGGTGTTAGAGCAGCATGCCATCTTCTCTCTGGAGCTTGCTGCTCGAGCCCTGCTAACAAATCGTGAAAAGGCCACCGAACTGTTCTCTCTGTTTCTTCAAAAGTTCGAGAATATTCTGAGCAAAGTGGACGACAACAAAATTCCAGCCCCTTTCATGGTGGAGCGTGTTGTCGTTACCATTTTGAGATCCAGCATACATCTATACGACCTTCCAGACGTAAGTTTTACCTGCCTTGATCAGCAGCTTGTTGTCTACTTTACGACTCGGTCTCACATTCCCGTTTATTGCTTTTTCGCTCGACCAGCTTCGGCCGCATCTACGAGCTTCGTTACACCTGCTCATGATGTCCCTTCCTCGTAAATTTATCGCCCAAATATCGGATCGAATGGCCTGTGGTTTAGCAATCATTTTGAGAGCTTCGTTCCACTTTTTCGAGACTCCCAATGAGTGGACGTTCATGGGGGACACGTTAGACATGCTTGCCAACTACCAGGCAGCCCGAGGGTTCGTCTTCGATGGAATCGCATCTACGGTGGAGTACGCTCTACCATCGCCACCAGAAGACGTTGCAAGCGAACACCTGACACAAGAATCCGCGTCCACACTGACATTTGAGCAGAAAGAAGAGGAAGGCGACAACCACAACCAGGACCCCGCAGAACAACCTCCACCACTGTCGAAGGATGCTTGTGTGGCACTGACGAGAATCCTCATCCGCTTTGTGCTTGGATTCTATCAAAATGACCTATCCCTTTCGTTGCCAGCAATGTTGTGCCTGGAGAAGGTGTATCGACACCTCGTTTCACTGTTGGCACCACCCGAAGTGAAAGAGGAAGGCAAAGAAAATGGCGAAGGACAAGTGTCTTCTGGCAAAGTCCCCGACAAGGAACTGTGGCAGAATGTGATTGTTTCCGTCTACAGCGTTTGTCGTTCCGTGGACGAAGAGTCGTCTCGTTGTGGAATGGAATGCTACAGCCGTCTAATGAAAGAAACGAATGCGGATGAGATCTCTGACGACAAATGGCTGGCAATCCTTTATCTGATGGTCAACAAGCAGCCACCCTTGTCAGCGGATATATCCCGAGCCAACACTTTCACTGTGCTAGGTCAAGTCCTGATGATGGTGTTGCCACCTCTGAGCCATCGCAGCGAGAACTGGGAAGACTTGACAGATCTGATCCAACAGATTGCGGGGGTGGCGGAAGAGAATCTGAGGGAGGGTCGTCAAGGAAGCGTGAGTCCCTTGTTTCAAAAGACCGTAGAGACGGTTACGGAGTGTGCCAACAAGATGATGTCAGATGGCTTTGATGGCGACAAAGAGTTTAGCACTTGGGCTAGCGAGACTCTACTGGCAGAACTCGAGAAGTTTGGTGCACTGGGGGGATCCATCATCAACACAGCCCACACGACCTGAGCTCCATTACTACGCAGTGGATCGCCGGCGCTGGCTGCGCCCGCCTAATGGTATCGGACCGGTACGCATAACAGTACTCTAGAGGAACCAATGTTTGTACAGTAGTTCAAGAAAGGCTCCTAGCTATCATCGTCTTATTGTGTATATACCTGGCCTGGTACCGGTATCTCGACGTTGTGCGGTTCTAGTTACATGTAAGCATGCGGTTCGCTGTCACTGGTTCCCTCCTTTACTTTCGCACTTCACGCCACTTGAGGAAGAGGTTCAACTAGCTACAGTCACCGCTTCTAATCATCTCGTCACGGTGACGAGAGTGTTAGATCCAGCACTGCCGCACTCGCAGATGGATCCTGCTGTCTTTCATAACATTGGCCCCATCCTCAGAGTGTCTGGTACTAGTATGTACGGTAAAGGTTCCTGGCCCTTTTTAGCCGGAACAAGGACCAAACCAGCGGCACCGGTACATTGGGAGTGCAGATTGCGCGGAATTGCAAAATTAATTCTCATCGGGGAGGTTGTCACTCGGAAAACTGGCGGGTCTTCAAAGTTTCAAAGGAATTATTGATCCTTTTTCTTGATAAATCTCCGAAACGTAAAAATCAACGCATGACTGTGGCCCGGCTCTTTCGAATTCGAAACCGAACTCTGTCAGGCTTCAGGAGGCGTGCTGGCGTCACCTCTGAAAGCCCCACGATCACTCATCAGTCGTATTGAGCTTCCTTGAAGCACCACCCCCACCGACAAAACGAAAATATCCCTGTCTGGGCATGCATGGATGACCCAACAAAAGCAAGATTGACCATGAGCAGCTATAGCAGTCGACCATCGGCAGGACCAGGACCAGGACCAGGGATGCCTCCTCCTCCTCCGCCACCACCTCCACCGCGTCATGGTCACCCAAACGACAAGAATATGGCGCCGTACGGTCCTCCTCATCCGGCAGCCATGCATCCGATGATGCCTTTTCATCCCCACATGCATGGACCTTACGGTCCTCCTCCGCCTCATTACATGGGGATGCCCTATGGTCCGCCTCAGCCGCCCCCACCACCTCCCCCGCCGCTAACGGGTCAAGTGGCTCCTTCCGCCAAAGGAGCTGCTCCTCCTCCAAAGGACGAGAGTGGTGAGAAGAAAGAGGGCGAGAAGAAAGAGGACAAAGCGCCTGCCAAGGCCAAGGAGGAGACGCCAACAACCACCACCACAACAACAACCAGCGAGGAAGACAAGAAGGAAGAGAAGAAACCTGACAATGCTGCCGAAGACAAGAAGCCACAGGAAGGCTTGCAGCTTCTTGCTAGTCTGGCCATGCCCGATAAGAAGGACGATAAGAAGGAGGGATCCGAAAAGATTGTTCCTGAACCTGGCAATGTCGCTGCGGCTGCCGCTGCGGCTGCTGCCCAGCTTCACGCCAACGCCGAAGCGGCCGGAATTGCGATTGTGCAAATGGATGGACCTACTACCAGCAAGAAACCGCGCAAAAAGACTCGCATGGAAGAGATGGCACCCAAGGAAAAGCTATTTGTGGAAAAGGTTCGGGACTGTGATGTCCTTTGTGGCCGTGGCGGTGAGTACATACACTGTACTATTGTTTGATCGGGTTGGGTTTCTTTTCTGTTAATCTCACCCTTGATTTCGCTTACTTGCTGTTGGTTGTTATTATTCTAATGGTCACAGGAAAATCCAATCACCATCCGGGAAACAAGCGGTATCGGCAGGTCGTCAGCGAAATGAAGAGGACTTATCAAAGCACCGGTGCCAAGACTGCCAAAACCGACTTGAGCCGAGCCATTGTCGAACATGTCGTTAGCTATGGTGGTCGCTTCATCAAACGAGATGAAGCCACCGGCCAGTACTTTCTCCTGACAAAGGCACAAGCGCGAAGGAAGACCAGCCAAGCCCTGAGAGAAACTAAAGAGCTAAAGTGGACCATGTAGTAGGAATTAAAATTTGGGTGGGTACAGTAAAAGAGACCAACTCGGAAAAATCCGTTCGGCAATTCATGACCTACCCTACACACGCGGAGCCAAACTTTCCTCTGCTCTACTGATGCTCCAATTCGCAAAGTACGCAGGTGTTCTTGTCAGGCTATGCTAAAATAATATAATAACGGGGATCTGAGTGAAACGTCTTCTTGTCTATAGCAGTGTAGGAATTCGCTCTTCACAACCGACAAAACAGCCTTCGTGTCGGCGGCGAGCCTTCAGACACGGCAAACAGCAAGACTCTAGTCGAGTTCATGGCGTCCCTCAGAGTCTCCACTATGATAGAACACTGCTGCTCGCATCGAATCTGGCAGTCTATCCGTCTATTCATTCGTCTCTACGCAACTCATTTGCTTTGTGAACCCAAATCGCTGCGTTCAACCTACACAGGCTGAAACATTGGTATCATCGGTATGGGCAAGGTACAGGGCACGACGGTCAGGTCCCCTTCGAGTGAGATGTATTTTGGCGTTCCCGCTATCATGCCTGGGTCATTGCTCCAGTGATGTATGTGCACAGTTGGCCATGTTGGGGATGAGGCACAAGCGACTTGCTCAGGACAGCCACCAACGCCCGAACTGAGCACCAGTACTGGGTGACGAGGGCGGTCGAGTAGAACAAAGTTCACTTCTTCATCCCCGTCAAGCTTGCCACTCCCACCCACCAAAAAAATCCACCCCAGACGCCGACTTACTAACCACTCCTTATCAAGCTGGAAGCATCCTTCGTCCTCCTGCATGTACCCAGAGCCCAGAGTACTACGGGTTGTTAGACCCTTCCTGATTGCCCAAGTACGCGCCAACAAACGCATCAACACTACTAGGATGATATTCTTGGTCGTCGATGATGCTAGATTACATTGTACTATTGGACTACATGGAGAAGAACATAACTCCTCGAACCAAGCATGCACCAAGAACCGACGAAAACAGCATACCTATTAGGTCGACCGTACGGGTACCGAAAAGGAGAGGATTCGATGATTCGACCAACTCTTTTAGGGGGCTCTGAAGATCGCTGCCTCAGTGAAAAAACTGACCAGAAGCTGTCAGATAGATGGCGTTGTTCCAATACTACATGTACAGCATTGATACAAGCTATTTAATAAAAAATAGTACCAGCTAATAATTAATAGTACTACAGTACTAGCTAGTAGGAACGACTGTAAAGGCGGCGTGCAGTACTACTTAGTACTACCAGAGATTAACCTCATTGGGTAATTATGATTACATTGGGTAATTAAAAATGTAAACGCTTTGTACAGCTTCAAACCTGCCTTTAATGCTTGATATCAAACTCAATACTCTTTCTATACCTATTCTAACATCATCTGGGAACATTACATATGGGGTCTAGAAGGAAGAGTTAGGGAGTAATGGCTGGAAAGAGCCGGTGAAAGCCCCTTTTCATGATTTTCGCCATTTCACATTTCCCACACCATGGCGAAACGGAGCGTCGTTCGTCGTTAAGAGGACGGGGAAAAGGAGCATCGGTCGTTGGCGTTCGACGGCTTCGATACGACTATTGTTGGCATCAGCAGGAGAGGTTGCTCCGCTGGAGAGGTGGCTGGAGGGGCTCCGAGGGGAGAGATAATAGAAGGAGATAATGGGATACCCCAAAACGACAAGTCGCCGCCGATTCGACGCTCCGCGCCGATTCGACGCTCCGCAGCCGGTCTAGGCGGCGCTACCAGTCAAGTGGTGTAGTCTCCGGCTCAGTGACTAGTCTTCTGGTGTTGCCGTGTCGATAGGCCGGTCGAAACAGCGGCAGAAATTGTCGCTCCTGTTGTTGGGGTTGAAAGATAATGGAAATGTAATAATTTATCATGCTTATTAACACGGCAAATCACATTGAGTAACTATCCCAAAAATAGACCATCTTCAGGAGCTTAGAACTGTAGGAAGAAGCCAATCCAGCCAACTGTAGCCCATTGCCAAACAGTTCATGGTGTTGGCGACGATGATGAGACGATTTTGGTTGGGCTGTCAGAGTGCCTTGATAAGCCGACAGAGCTGTTTACATTAGGTGGCCGATATAGTTACCCAATGAGGTTAATCTCTGGTAGTAGTAGCAAAGCTTTCTCCCCTCTCGTCGGCCACCTCTGATCAAGATGTCAGACACTTGAACGGTACGTACCGTACCGTACGGTACGTCATGCACCGGTACCCCCTGTCATGCGGAGGAGAGCAACTTTTTGAAATTGTGAGAAGAATGCTGTCATTAAGTACCAAAGCTTACGGAAGTCCTAAGTATCTTCGCAAAATTGGGTCTCACTATCGCGAGACGAGAACGAGTTTGGAGAAAGCGATGCAAAATCACAACCATCGAAGCATCCACCGTCCACTGCAAGCCAATGCATTCTTATCCTTTTGGGCGTTCCTATTCTGCTGATCTACAATAGCCATGAGCAACTGGCTTCGGCTTGCCGTCGTTTCTCTACTTGCCGCATCTCAGGGTGGTGTTCATGGAAGTTCCCTGAGGTCAGACCACTCCTCAAAAACATCCCGTCAGCTGCTCACTCCGGAAGATGAGGAACAGCTCCTTACGGTAATTGCTATCGCGGACCAAGGCGGGCCAACTGCAGACGACATACAGGCAAGCTACGACTCATTCCGTACCAACTATCCTTTCCGCCCATTCTGCGTCTTGGAAGTGCGAGGAGGAGGACTGGAACTGGTGACCTCAAAATCCCCCTTAACATGGTGCAAGATCCATTGGTGACCATTGCGACTGTCTCTCGAGATGAAGGTGACTCGTTTTTTCAATCAGATTGGTTCGACATTTGCAATTTGTATGATCTGGGCGACGTTTCCACCGTTGCCATCTCTTTGGATGTTCATATCTTTGATGTTGAAGCTTCCTTTGATTCCTTCTTGTCCAGAGCTGCCAATGCAGGCCTCACGCTGAAAGGTGCTGGCATTGGAGTTGTGAACTTAAATTGGATTGATCCCCTCAATCAAAACTTTGTTCTTACATCTACTCCGAGCTCCACCCCAACTGAAGTACCCTCTTTCGGCCCAACTCTGTCACCAACTCAAGCGCCCTCGGAGAGCTTCGCGCCCACCAGTCAAAGTGCTTTCACCGTTGATGAGGAGATCCAAGTTGCAAGTACTCCAGCCCCCTCTGTAAGCTTCAAACCAAGCAGCAGCAGTCAGCCGAGCAGCTCACCCAGCGTCAGCTTCAAGCCCAGCACCAGTAGCCAACCCAGCAGCATGCCAAGCACTTCATTTGCCCCCAGTATTTCAATGAAACCAACAATCTCCGGCCAGCCAAGCAACTCTCCAAGCATCAGTTTTAAGCCCAGCACCAGTAGTCAACCAAGTTCCTCGCCGAGCGTCAGTTTCAAACCAAGATGTAAGCATGAAGCTCGTAGCCTCTTCGCGCAGCTCAAGTTCTACGCCCAGAGCGCAGTGTTCAACCAGTGTAAGCAGCTGAAGTCCATCATGCCTTGAAATCTCCTCGCACGCTCAGGCTCAAGTTATCTGAAAGCTGTGTTGGGAAGAAATGGCAAAAGGATACTTCTTACTAAATAGCTAAACACCTAGGGCCGGCTTGGTTTGAAACTGACGCTCGGCGTAGAACTTGGCTGGGAAGAAAGGCTAGGCTTCATGCTAACGCTTGGTTTGAAACTGACGCTCGGCGTAGAACTTGGTTGGGAAGAAATGCTAGGCTTCATGCTTACACTTGGTTTGAAACTGACGCTCGGCGAGGAACTTGGTTGACTACTGCTGCTTAAACTGATGCGGAGAGGTGCTGCTGGCCGGAGATTGTGGTTGTCATGAAAATACTGGGGCAAATGAAGTGTGCTTGCATGCTCCGGTGGCACGGGCTGGGCTGAAGGC